TCATTCATTCTTTTCTTTTCTTTCTTTTTTTTTTTTTTGTCAGTTGTGGGGCTTGAACTCTGGGCCTGGGTGCTGTCCCTCAGCTCTTCAGCTCAAGGTGAGCGCTCTACCACTTGAGCCACAGGGCCACTTCTGGTTTTCTGAGTGTTTTTGTGAAGCCTGAACAAAATATAGCAACTTTAGGTTTGGATTCCATTTTGTCTAGGAAATGTGTCAGCAATTCCCCTTGATCCCCTTAAGCCCAAATTCCAGGAACAAGCCTCTTTACGGTGAGTTCCATTAACTACAGCTAATCAGCATATAACAGGAAAAACCAAAAGTTCCAAATGTTCCTGCAAGTTAAAGACCACTCGGTCGCAGCTCAGACTATCTGCTTTAACCAATCATTTTGAAGAGCATCAACCCCATGAACCAGCCAATCCCCAGTACCTGGTCTGTTCCCGCCACCGTTACACGGTGTGATATGATTTGTTAGGTGTTTCAATGACGCATAAAAGTCCCTAAAAACCCTATAACAACCCTGCTGAACAAGAGATTGGGACTCACAATTTCTGACCTACTGTGTCAGGGAAGGTTTGTGAGTCCGGCTTGAGCTGTAATAAACGACTCTTGTGCATTTATATCAGCGACGGCTCCCTGGTGGTCTTTGGGGGGAGGGGGAGTCTTCAGCCTAGTACTTCAGTTTATTGGAAATAAGAGTCTCACGGACTTTCCTGCCCAGACTGACTTTGAACTGTGATCCTCAGAGCTCAGCCTCCCATAGTTGGAATTACAGGAATGATCAATGCCTACACCTGGCTCACTGCGATCTTTTCTTTCTTTCTTTTTTTTGTCGGTGGTGGGGCTTGAACTCTGGGCTTGGGCATTATCCCTCAGCTCTTCAGCTCAAGGCGAGCACTCTACCACTTGAGCCATAGCGCCACTTCAGGTTTTCTAGTGGTTTATTGGAGATAAGAGTCTCATGGAGGGGCTGGGAAGGTGGCTCAGTGGTAGAGCGCTTGCCTTGCATGCATGAGGCCCTGGGTTCGACTCTTCAGCACCACATAAGCAAAAAGAAAAAAGCCGGAAGTGGCGCTGTGGCTCAAGTGGTAGAGCGCTAGCCTTGAGCTGAAGAGCTGAGGGACAGACAGCTCCCAGGCCCAGAGTTCAGGCCCTACAACTGGACCCCGCCCCCCCCCCCAAAAAAAAAGGAGTCTCATGGATTTTCCTGCCCAGTCTGGCTTTGAACCTTGATCCTCAGATCTCAACCTCCTGAGTAGCTAGGATTATAGGCATGAGCCACCGCACCTGGCTTCATTTTTTAAATAATTTTTTTATTGTGAAAATGCTGTACAGAGGGGTTACAATCACATGAGCAAGGTAATGATTACTTTTTTTTTTTTTTTTGTCGGTCATGGGGCTTGAACTCTGGGCTTGGGCACTGTCCCTGTGCTCTTCAGCTCAAGGCGAGCGCTCTACCGCTTGAGCCACAGCACCACTTCCATGAGTACATTTCTTATCAAGCATTGTTGCTTCCTCCTTTGTTTTCCCCCTACCATCCCTTCCCGCCCACCTCCACAACTAATGGAGAAGCAAGCCCATCTACTAGAAGAGCAGAATCTCTGAGAAGCCACAGCAGATGAAGCTCACAATATGGAAAAAAATCCCCCTAGCCTTGAAACTCCAGAAGTCCGCTTCAAAGATGAACCTTCATTGGGTGCCAGTGGCATTTTTTGTTGTTGTTGTTGGCCATGGATCTTGAACTTTGGGCCTGGGAGATTTTCAGCTCTTCAGCTCAAGGCTAGCGCTCTACCACTTGAGCCACAGCGCCACTTCCGGCTTTTTCTGCTTATGTGGTGCTGAGGAATTGAACCCAGGGCCTCATGCATGCAAGGCAAGCACTCTATCACTGAGCCACCTTCCGAGCCCAGGCCAGTGGCTTTCTAGTTACTCAGAAAACAGAGACCTGAGGATCAAGGCTCAAAGCCAGCCCGAGTAGAAAAGTCTATAAGACATTCTTCTCCAATTAACCTCCAAGAAGCCAGAAGTGGAGGTGTGGCTCGAGTGGTAGAGCACCAGCCTTGAGTACAATACAAAAAAAGATGAACGAGCAGAAGCGCTCGCCAGTCCCGCAGATCTGTGTCTTGCTTCAACAGTGTTTGGACGGAACAGACCCGGGAACTCCTCCTTTCCACCACCATCTGCCTCTCCACTCACCGCCTCTGACCCTGATCTTCTCGCCCGTTGCTTGCTTCCAAGACCAACCAACACTGTGTTTTTCTGTGGTTAGCTCTGTATCGATGACCAGCCATGACCTCCCAGATTCATCAGAATTACTCCACCGAGTTTGGAGGCTACCATCAACCGCCTGGTCAACTTGCATCTGCGGGCCTCCTACATCTACCTTCTCTGGGCTACTATTTTGATCATGACCATGTGGCTCTGGAGGGCGTGGGCGCCCAGCGCCTCCTGAAGATACAGAACCAGGATGTGCAGAAACCTTCTCAGGATGAGTGGGGTAAAACCGTGGAAGCCATGGAAGCCGCCCTGGCCCTGGAGAAGAATCTGAACCAAGCCATTGTGGATCTTCATACCTTGGGTTCTGCTCACACAGACCCCCATCTCTTCCTAGAGAACCACTTCCTGGATGAAGAGGTGAAGCTCATCAAGGAGATGGGCGACTACTTAACCAACCTTCGCAGGCTGGGGGCGGCCCCTCAGGCCCAGTGGGGCGAGTATCTTTTCAAACGCCTCACCCTCAAACACGACTAGAAAACTCCAGAGTCCAGCAGCCTTTGAGGGGCCATCTCTACCTCACCAGACATCAGGGTTTCTGCCCGAGCTTCTGCCTTTAGCCATTGGGAAACTTCCTAACTAACCATCATGGAGCCCTTCCCAAGCCTTGGACCAAATGAAAAGAACACTCATCCAGGGACTCAGGCTGCAGCAGACTGCCCTGGGAGGAAAATGTGGTGGTGAGAGATGGGGACAGCAGGAAGGAAGGAACATGGACTTGTAAGGCCCCTATGGGAAAGATGTTGGCCAGTAGCCAGGCATCTTCCTGAGGCCCCTCAGTCTAGCCAGGGTCACCTGATCTAGGAGACTCCAAGTGGCTGTTGGAGCTTCCTCCTACTTGTGGCTTCTTAAAACAGGAACAGGAAGCAGAAAGTTGTTTGACAAAACATTGAAGAGAAACCACACCCTTTCATATCATCTACGAACAGAGCAAGAATTCCAACAGTGTGGGAGTAGATCAAAGCAGAGACTACTCCCCACCCTCAAACTGACCTCATGCACAAAGCAGACCCCAGATAGGCTCAAGGAAACCCATCAAGTACCCAATCTGCTCAGAGATTTTGTGGCAGCAGACCCATTCCTAGATCCCTTGTCTCCCTTCCCCTGGTCATCTCTGAGGCCTGAGGTCCCCCAGCTTAGTTTATATTTTTGAAATTTCAAGTTTAGATGGGGAAAAGCATCCCTATACAGCCTCACATGGCAGGGGTGGTCTCATTCCCTACCATCCCTGAAGGTTGAAATCTGAGGATCATGGTTCAAAACCAACCCAGTAAGGAAAGCTCATGAGACTCATCTCTCCAATTAACCACCAAAAAAGCTGGGAATGAAGCTGTGGCTCAAGTGGTAGGTGCCAGCCTTGAGCAAGAAAGCTACAAAAGCTAAGGGATAGTGGCTAGGCCCTGAGTACAAGCCCCAGTACTGGTGTGTGTGTGTTAGCACACACACACACACACACACACATATACACACACACATTTTGAGATGAAGCAGCTGCCTGCCCATCCCTGAGTAGCCATTCACAGCCACTTCCATCCTAAAAGTAGGCACAAGTACAAGTTAGAAGAGATAGAGATCTCAGAAGACCAGCTCAGCAGCAAGTGGGAGAAGGAAGGGTGGAATGATGGGAAAGGGAAGGGAGGAATGAATGAATGAAAAGGTGGGCAAATGAATAAACAGCAAAAGAACACATGTCTTGAAACCAGGAAGAAGAAGACAGAAGTCCTCTCTGCCCAGCTTTGCCTGAGCAGAATGGGCCAGGGTCTGCCACACTCTTCTGTTATAGAACCCACCCTTGGGTTTACAAACCACCTCGAGTCTTCACCGTAGCCTGTAAAGCTGATATTCTGGGAAGTAGACCAAGTTGGTTAGCAGAATGTTTCTGGGGACCCAGTGAGAATTGGGGGTCCAGAAGGAGCTTCCTGCCGTGTTTCACTCTAGTGAGAGATTTTTTTGTTTTGTTTTGTTTTGTTTTTTGTGGGTCGTGGGGCTTGAACTCTGGGCTTGGGTGCTATCCCTCAGCTCCTCAGCTCAAGGCGAGCGCTCTACCACTTGAGCCACAGCGCCAATTCCTAATGAGAGATTTTTCACAGGCTAGGTTTCCTGGAAGAAGGTGAGGAAATGGCAGCTATGGCCTGCCAAACAGCAGTCACAGGTCCAGGCCCTGTGACATGGGGGAAAGTCCATGAAGGAAGTGGCATTAGCAGGGGGATTGAAGGGAAATGGAACCTGGGCAGTACTGTGTGCACCCAGCAGGCCAGCACCCATACACAGATCCCCTGAACCCCCTTGCCTATACCCCTGGGAAAAGGCCCCAGCCTTGGCCAACTGGTCTTGCTGACAGGTCCATTGCAGGTCATAAGAGTTAGGCTGGCCAGAACAGGGATATGGCTACAGAGCCCTTTTAGAGTTTCTATGTCAAACCTTGGTTGTACAAGTGGATCTCTTGAGCCCTCGATCTAGGAATGGACTCAAAACACTGCCCGTGCAACATTGCCATTGCTCCCATGGGGTTTCCCTATCTGCTCTGTGGACTTACCTGCCACCCATCTTGTGCAAGGTCCTGGGGCTTACTCCTTGCTGGTGATGCTAGAGCTCAAATCCACACGGCCCTTCTTCCATGAGCCAGCCTATACCCTCCTGTGCCTTTCCCCACACACTCGCCACAGGCACACAGTCTCCAAGAGAAGCCAGCAGCCAAGGGCCACCAGTTCCCCCCCAACTCTTACCGTCCAATGTCTGAGCAGACTTTGGAGTCAGCAGCTACAGCGGCATGGGCAAAGGCTTGGGGGCCACAGGAAGGAGGGTGGTGAGCGAGAACCACAGCCAGCACAACAATGGCCAGCCCCAGCCCTAGCCCCAGCAAGACCAGGCTGACGATGGCCCTGTGGCACTGAGCCATGGCTGCTGGCCTGGGAGGAGAGGGGAGGCAGGTAGGCAGGTAGGCCAGAGGTTGGACAGACAGACAGGCACATAAATGGACAAGAAGCTGCACAGGTAGACTCACTGATGAGTGAACAGATGGAAAAATCGAGGCAGAAACAGATAGATTGACATCTAAGCCAGACAGCTGGACAGAGAGGAAGGTTCGATGGACATTATGCAGAGATGGGCTTAAAAGAAAGGAGATCAGACAGATGGATTGACAGACAAACAGCAGGCAGACAAGCAGATGGATTTACAGACAGACAGATGGATATCAGCAGCCTCTGCCCTCCTCAAGTACGTGCTGCAAAGAGATCTGCCCACAAGCTTGAACTTCTAGTTTTTAGCCCTAGCCTGGTGGGGCAGCAGGCCAGGGCGTCTATTGGGGGAAGTTTTTTTCCTTGCAATGTGGCTGGGGTTAACTCTTTCACTACCAGTTGATCCTCTGGCCCTCCTGTCCACCCCATGGCACCAGGGGCAAGGGGCTTGCATGCAGGGCTCCCAGGGACCCTTGTACCATTCCCCTGGTTCCCAGAAACACAGAGAAGGCTGTTAGGAGTGACCCCACCCTTTCCTGGATCAGGCCCTGAGAGCCAAACCCCCCTCCCAACCCAGGGCGGAACTCCACTCTCAGATGAGCAGCAGCTCAGCCTTGTCATTCATATGGCCCAGAAGAGAAGCTGAAGGAGGATCCAAGGTAGAGTCGTATAGCTTATCTCAGCCACAACCTGGCTCAGAGCCCAGCATGCTGCCGCTGTCCTTAGAGGGGGCAGGATGCAGACAGGCCACGTGTCTAATCGGAGGCATCCAGTGCCACTGGACCATCCTACCCCCTGGGACCTGCTGACTTGAAGATACACTCTTGAACTTCTTGGGGAGCAATGCTACCCTGTTTGGGTTCCCAAGCCTCCTCCCCTCACTCAGTCTCTCCCTGCTGGTTCCTTGTGACCATCAGTCTCAGGGTTATTCCTACACTGGCCCCATGTCTCCTCCCTGGGGACACTGCCTTGTGTGTTGCTGGAGCTAGCAAGTTTGATGAGATGCAGGGCCCAAGGGCAATAGCTTAGAAACAGTTGCCACAGCCCTACACTGCCTTCCTTTCTACCATAGCACTGACCTTTGCAGGCCATACATGGAGTCATAGCCCACCTCCTGGTATAGCCAAGAAATGAGACCCAGAGCTAGAGAGTGTCTGCCCAGATTACACTGGGACCTCCTTGCCAGATTCCCTGGTCAGTCTGAGTCAAGAGACTGTTTCCCATAAGCCTGTTGTCATAGTTGTCTTAAGTAGGCTGGTGCTGTCCCCCAGGCTGCAGTGGCGTTGGCCAATCAGGAATGAAAGTGCATCCCACCCGCTCACCACAGTCCTCAGAGGACAAAAACAGGGAGGGCTAGGGATGGGGACATCTCTGTAGTTATTCTGATCAGGCAGAGGCCAGGGTACAGAGACAGTATGGGCAAAGGCCCAGGGGGAAGGATTTGTGTCATGCTGGGATTTCTGCCAGAGGCTAGGCTGGGTGATTCAGCTCAGAAGATCCTGAATGCCCTAATCTAGGAAGTGATGGAGGAGAAGATGGGATGAAAAGAGAGGTATTCAGCTCCCCCATCCCTGAACTTGTCTGGGACTAAGCCCCATGAGGCCTGGGGAACCTGGATTCATCCACCAGCACGTTGGAGCAGTGAGTGCTGTTTCCCATCTTCCACTCTCTCATAGCTGTGAGACCTAAAACAGATCTCAGTCTTTTCCATGCAAATGGGGCCATGGCCTTTCCTTTTATTTATTTTTTACTTTTTTATTTTTATTTTTTTTGGGTCTGGTCGTGGGGCCTGAACTCTGGGCCTGGGTGCTGTCCCTCAGCTCTTCAGCTCAAAGCTAGTGCTCTACCACTTGAGCCACAGCGCCACTTCTGGCTTTTTTCTTTTTACTTATGTGGTGCTGAGGAATTGAACCCAGGGCCTCAGGCATGCAAGGCAAGCACTCTACCACTGAGCCACCTTCCCAGCCCCGGCCTTTCCTTTTAGACTAAAGATTTAGGAGTGACTGCCACACCCCACTACCCAGCCTCTGTCTCTTTCCCAGAGAACCCACTAGGCTTTAGTGTTAGACCCTGGATGAAGCCTGAAGACCCAACTCCCATTTCCTGTTGGAAAGAAATCAGGTTTCCCAGCTTGCCAACCCCCTCCACCAGCCTGTGTTCCTTAGGGCCCTCTACTTGTCACTTGCCAGAGGTGATTATCAGCCAAACTGTGACCTCATCCCAAACCTCCACCAATCACCACCAGCCTCAGGGATTACAGTGTTGGGAAGGGGTTATTACATTAGAGAGAAAGGCTGCCGCACCCCCTTCCCCCCTCCCCCCTCCCCCCAGATAATGTGCCTAGCAGTGTTTTTCTAGACCCACCCCTCTGGGCTCTTTCTCCGTAGAGGAGCTGCAGATCTTCTCCAGTTCACTAGCTTGCTGTTGTGGTAATTGGACTCCTCCCCTTAGAGCTGCTGATGTAGAAAGCCTGGCTTCACACTGAGTTTGTGTTTGGTGAGTGATCCCTGGGCGTGTCTCTTACCAAGAAGCTTTGCTTCAGCCTTTCGCTCAATCTTCACTCCTCAGATTTCAGTTTCACCCTTACTTCTAGGGCAGGGGGGAGCTCAGAAACTAGTTATCCTAAGGAGGTTCTGCTAGTTGCCATCTTCCCCAGCAATACCGGGGCTGGGGCTCCCCCTGGTGGGAAATACTCAGAAGTGCTATCCAGACCAAGGAAGGAATGTCTGGTCCTGGGGCTCATAGTGAGGAAGGACAGAGCTTAATAATGGCCTGCCTGTCTCATCCTCCACCCTTCAACTTACCACATACTTTGCAATCCCCCTACTAAAATGTTAAGGATAACTCCAGCACTCACAGTGCAAAGATCTCTAGTTTCCAGTTTTCCATTCTTCCCCAACCAGAGAATTCCATTTCATACACAAGACACTCAGGCCCAAGGAGCGAGGAGCCTGCCACTCAGGCTTCCCAGAGCCCAGCACTGCAGTCTCCATTTATTTTATGTTGTTCTGCCACTCTCAGAAAGAGCATGTCCTCCAAAGTCTTACTCTTGGATCTGTTGCGATTCTTGTCCCCAGGTTTCTGATCAGTCTTGTTCATCCAAGCATTCAATAGCCAGCTGGCTCTCCACCTTTCCTGGAATCTGAGGCGGCTGCCCAGCCACTAGCTGTTCGGACAATGGCCTGGACCACAGCGATGTAGGTAGAAGTGACCTCGATATGGTGGTGCCGGGCCTTCAGGGCTTCAACCACAGCCTGGGGAAGGAGACAGGGGAGAAGGAGGCCTCAGCAGGGCCATAGAGATGGTCTGAACCACTCTGTGGATTAGAGGCCTTACAAAGCCAGATGGTTTCTAGGTACCTGTAATTCTAGCTACTTGGGGGACTGAGATGTGATGGAGGTTTGAAGCAAGTCTGGGCAGAAAGTCTGTGGAACTTATCTCCAATTAACCACCCAAAAGCTGGAAGTGGAGCTGTGGCTCAAGTGGTAGAATGCCAGCCTTGAGCAAAAAGACCAAAGGACAGCACCTAGTTTCTGAGCTCAAGCCCCAGTGCGTGCGCGCGCACACACACACACACACACACACACACACACACACACGCAAAGCCAGATGTGCTTGGTGGGTGGAAAGAGCAAAGTGGGAGTACTCAGGTTTATGAGTCCATAAGGGGCTCCATTATGTCCATCAGAAATAACCTTCCAGCACAGAAGGCCTTAAAAGCCCACACCATGTCTCGGTTTCCCCACCACACAGCCTACCTGATCAATGTGTTTTTCCACAGTTGTGGTGTTGGGCAAAAGCTGATTGTGTAGCCGGGGCTCCTCCACTGCCCGCTTCATGTCATAGCCGAACCACAGGTTGTAAATGATAGCCTGGCAGTGGGAAATGGTGAGGGACTCAGTGTGGCCCAGGGGCAGGGGGAGGGAGGACAGGTAGGGGACGCATACCAGTGCAGTGGACGTGGTGATCTGTGTACCCCCAGAGGCTCCCACCACCATCTGGACTTTCCCATCCGGACCCACAATAATGGATGGACACATGGATGATAATGGCTGCTTCCCTATGGTCCATAGAGTGAACAGAGATGCCAGTCAGTTCCTTGCTCAGGATGCCAGCCCCTGCCAACACAAACTCCCCCGGGACCCTTATCCTGCACCTGGTCTGATGAAATTGGCTGGTGATGGGAACACTCCAAATTGATTCGTGAAGTTAGGCGAGCTAAAGTCATCCATCTCATCATTGAACAGGATGCCACTGACCCGGGAAAGGATCTTAGAGCCGAAGCTGCATGGGGAAGTGGGTAGATAGTTGTGAGCAACCAGCCTGGCCCTGCCTGGTCCCTCCTCCCCATCCACCCCTGCCAAGCCCACTCCCTGTGAGGCCAAGCTACCAAGGTGGGACCTATTACCCACCATAAAAGTGGGAGTCCTTTCATGGGATGAAGGTAGCCTCTAGCCCACCACCTCTGACCCTGTACCAACTGGCCCCACAGCCCCTACTAGAGATTGATGGTGCTGGTGGTGGACACAGCACTGCCGTCCTCTGAGACCACCGACAAGTGGCTGGTGCCCCCATCATCCGGATTGTAGAATTCAGGCTCATAGTACGAAGTCATGTGAGTGGTGTTGTCAGTGATGCGAGCTTGGAGCTGGGCAGCGAAGAACTCAGAGCTCATGTTGCGAATGACCTGCCGAGACCCCAGAGCTGGCCTAAGGAGGTGGAAAGGGAGCGCGGAGAGGGGGCACAGGGTTGTCCGAGCAGGTCCCAGGAATCCCCTGACCATGGGTCTGATCACAATCCTCTTGCATCCTAAAACTTCGGGGGCTTTCCAGGACACAGACAGGAAAGCAGACTCAGCACCTCACACAGTGGCTTGTATGACCCCATCTCTTTGTTTTATTCCAATCATTATGAATGTCTGTTGTCCGCCCCCTCAGGCTTTTAGACTCTCATCCTCGCAGTGATTCATTCATGCAATTATTTACGGAGCTTGTGTTGCATGCCCAGAGATGAGAAATTGGAAGGGAACAGGCAGGGTAAGTTCTAGTAATAGGAAGGCAGAGAAAATGAAAGAGAAGAATGAGGGATAGGCAGTGTGGTTAGGGAGGGCTTCTTTAGAACAGATAACTGAAAAGAGTCCAGTAGGAGGCCTAAAGGGCAAATACAAAGGCCCTGGGGCAGGATGAACAGGGCGGTGTTTCCAGTAGTGACTGAGATGAAGGGAGAGAAAATTTGAAGATGCTGGCTTGGGGTTCATTATTTCTGTAAGGGTTTCTTAACTCCTCTAAGGACTGACAAGCATGGGTAGAGGAGTAAACATGCTGGGGAGCATTTTCTCAGGGTCCCTGTGGTGGTCATGTAGGGAGTAAAGAGCAGGCTATGGAGAACCAGGTGACATGTAGATGGCTCATCTCACACCAGGAGCTGGTGACTCACGCCTGTAATTCTAGCTGCTTAGGAGGCTGTGATTTGAGGGTCAAGATTTGGAGACAGCTGGGGAAGGACAGTCTAGGAGACTCTTTTATCTCCAACTAATCACCAAAAAGCTGGAAGTGGAGCTGTAGCTCAAGAGGTAAAGCATCAGCCTTGAGCTAAAAAACAAAAAACAACTAAAGGATAGCCTTCAGGCTTTAAATTCATAGTGTGTGTGAGTTCACACACACACACACACACACACACACACACACACACACATGAGATGGCTCATCCAGCTGGAATAAAAATAATAATAGAGGATGCCCTTGCAACTTTAAGCCCAGAATAGCTGTTCACTGGGTAGTAAACACTGCAGATAGGGGACAGTCAGGAGACTGATCTTGAGCCTAGGCCCATCAGACACTTTAGAGCATGACTCAGGTAGATGGGCTCATGAGCATGATGTGCATGTATGGAATTCACCTATGGGGTTGATAGAAGCAATAAATCTAGCCCCAAAGTGGTGGCAAAGGAAGTCAGAGAGAAAAGATGGAAAGAGGGATGAAGGGCCCCAGGAGGCCTAACAAAGAAAATGCCAGAGGCTTTGTAGATGCCCCATGTATAGACTCAGAAATCCAGGGAAAGCTGAATTTGCTCATAGGAGCACAACACCAGGATATGGGCTATGTCTAGGTTTTGGAACTTAAAAAGCAATAGCTAAAGGACTGGGAATGTGGCTTAGTGGTAAAGTGCTTGCCTAGCATGCATTGAAGCCCTGGGTCCAATTCCTCATTACCATATACACAGAAAAAGCTGGAAATGGTGCTGTGACTCAAGTGGTAGAGTGCTAGCCTTGAGCAAAAAGAAGCTCAGGGACAGTGCCCAGGACCTGAACTCAAGCCCCAGGACTGGCTATATATATCCAACAGGGTCTTTGGTAAGTTAAAAGACCAGAAAAAAATGTATGGTTAATCTCAGTTATCAACCTTGATTGGGTTGAGAGCTGCCTAAATGAATAAAGCACACTAATCTGGGCATGTCTGTGAGGGCATTTCCAGAGGCTGTTGGATTGTGATGTCATCTAATCCAGGGGTTCGATGCATGCATGGATTCAAAATTTGAATGGACTCTTGGAGGTGGTGGAACTGTGGAAGGCAGAGCCTAGTTGGAGAAAATGGGCCGCAGGGATGGTGCCATTAAAGGACATTTTTGTGCATGTGTGCCAGTACTGGGGCTTGAATCAAGGCCTGGGTGTTATCTCTTAGCATTTTTGCTCAAGGCTAGTGCTCTGCCATTTGAACCACAGCTCCACTTCTTGCTTTCTTGCTGGTAAGAGATAAATCTCATGGACTTTCTTGTGCAGGCTGGCTTCAACTGGTGCCTAACTCATTTTGTAAATTTTTGTGTCTGTAAAATGTAAAAAAGAAAAAGTACCTGGGTGCCAGTGGCTGACACCTGTAATCCTAGCTACCCAGAAGGCTAAGATCTTAGGATTGAAGTTTGAAGCCAGCCTGCACAGGAAAGTCCATGAGACTCTTATTTTCAATTAACCACCAAGGGGCTGGGAAGTTGGCTCAGTGGTAGAGTGCTTGCCTTGCATGCATGAGGCCCTGGGTTCGATTCCTCAGCACCACATAAGCAAAAAGAAAAAAGCCAGAAGTGGTGCTGTGGCTCAAGTGGTGGAGCGCTAGCCTTGAGCTGAAGAGCTGAGGGACAGCGCCCAGGCCCAGAGTTCAGGCCCCACGACCGGACTCCCCCCCAAAATAATCAATTAACCACCAAATAGCTGAAAGTGGAGCTGTGGCTCAAGTGGCAGAGCAGCAGCCTTAAGTGGAAAAGTTAAGGGACAGTGCCCAGGCCCTGAGTTTAAGCCCCAGTACTACTAATGCACATGTACACACATTAATTAATTTTTTAAATGGAAGAATGTGTAGTGAACTGTGTAGGATGCTACTGAGAGAAACCGAAGGCAAAAATGAGGTTGGATGTGAAGATCTGGGATTGTGTGGGTTGAGCAAGGATAGACAAGGTCTGAAGGAAGAGAAAATGGTCCCAGGGATGTGGTTCTACGCTAGAGCACTTGCCTAACATGTGAGAGGCTGGATTCCATTCTTGGCACACAGACAGGGGTGGGAGTATGTGGAAGGGAGCAGAAGGTTGAACTGTGGGTCTCTCTCTTGAGAATATAAATGGAGGGCTGGGAAGGTGGCTCAGTGGTAGAGCACTTGCCTTGCATGAGGTCCTGGGTTCGATTGCTCAGTACCACATAAGCAAAAAGAAAAAAATCCAGAAGTGGTGCTGTGGCTCAAGTGGTAGAGCACTAGCCTTGAGCTGAAGAGCTGAGGGACAGCGCCCAGGCCCAGAGTTCAGGCCCCACAACCAGACCCCCCCCCCCAAAAAAGAGAATATAACTGGAATCTGAGAGAGGCAAAAAAAAAATCCTTATAAGAATGGTGTCCTGAGCCAGAGAGTGAAGAGAAGGCCAGACTTAGTGAGGAGGGAAAGGGAGGGCAGAGGTGGGCAGAATGGGGTGGCTTCTGTCCCCTCAGAGAGATAAGATACCAGATCGTTGTTTGCAGAAATGTGAGGACTGACTGCTCAATGTCCACCAGGAAAAGAGAAGATGCCAGGGAGAATGGAGGCGCCTCCTGCTGGTCCCAAGTCATTGGGGCGGGGGCGGGGGTATCCCTGCAAGTCTGCCCCTGCAGGCAGGGCATCCAAGTAGGTGAAAAAGGTCATGAGGGCCCCTGGCAGGAAGGGATGCAAAGGAGGCCTCAGTGAAGGCCTAGTTTAGAGCTGAGGTACCTGACAAATGAGTCAGCCAGGTGATACCAAGCCAAGGGTAGAGATCAGAGAAGCATTCGTTTCTTAGTAGGACCAGGGAGCAGACCGCTGAGGCCTCTGCTCACTGGGTCCTCAACGTCCTGCACGTCATCCACAGCAATCCTGAAAACTACAAGACCGTCCCATGCATTTCTCACCTCAAGAGCTTAGCATGTACAAAAGCCCCTCAAGTAGGAGTTCAGCCAGAAGTGGGCACCAGTTATCTGTTGTCAAGTCTGTTTTTTTCCCCAGCTCAGATGAGGTGCAGAGAGCAAAGGCTGGGGCTTAGAGTAACCAGTCTATTCCAGCACATAGTAGGTCTACAACCCAAGTGTAAGGCAGGAACTGATTCGAAAAATAAACATGAGGAGGGGGGAGCCCTGAGACCCCACTCAGCATCTCTATGGCAAGTCTTTCCTCAACTGCGGGCCAGGCTCTTACCTGAGTCATATCAACAAAATTGGGGTCTCCCAACAGGGTCCTCTTGGCATAGGCAAACCGGAAGGCCTCTACGATGCGGTGATATGTCAGACCCTTCTTCTCAGGTGTCTTCACACTCTCCAGAGAGAAGTTGTACCCTGATCGATCAGAGCCAAGCACACACTGACAGGCCCCAGGGGTACAGAGGGCTCGGAAGATTGATATCACCCTGAGCCATGTTGAGCAGCCCTCTTAGAAAGGAGACACTTCATAACCAACAGCAGTGCCCACTTCAGAAAACTCTTAAGACAAGGGGTCCACAGCTTGGGCCTCATGCACTCACACACCAGATTCCAAGGTCTACAAAGTCACAGGTGATTACTTATATTACCAGCAGTATACTCTTTTTTTTTTTTTTTTTGTCCGTCATGGGGCTTAGAATTCTGGGTCTGGACACTGTCCCTCAACCCTTCAGCTCAAGGTGAGCACTCTACCACTTGAGCCATAGTGCCACTTCTGGTTTTCTGGTGGTTAATTGGAGATAAGAGTCTCATGAGCTTTCCTGCCTAGGCTGGCTTTGAACCATGATCCTCAGATCTCAGCCTCCTGAAAAGCTAGGATTACAGGTGTGAGCCACCAGTGCCTGGCCTGGCAAACTGAGCCAGGAAGGTGGCTCAGTGGTAGAGTACTTGCCTAGTATTCATGAAGCCCTGGGTTTGATTCTTCAATACCACATAAACAGAAAAAGCCAGAAGTAGAACTGTGGCTCAACTGGTAAAGTACTAGCCTTGAGCACAAAGAGGCTCAGGAACAGTGCCCAGTCCCTGAGTTCAAGCTCCAGGATTGACTGGCAAAAATAAATAAATAAACCTCAGATCTCAGTCTCCTGAGTAGCTAGGATTACAAGGGTGAGCCATGGGGGCCTGACTTAGCACTGTCTTTTTATAGTTATTTTCTTCTTTTTGGTTTTGGTTTTGTGTGTGTGTGTGTGTGTGTGTGTGTGTGTGTGTACATGCCTATACTGGAACTTGGGTTTTTTTTTTTTTTTTTTGGGTCCGGTCGTGGGGCCTGAACTCTGGGCCTGGGCGCTGTCCCTCGGCTCTTCAGCTCAAGGCTAACGCTCTACCACTTGAGCCACAGCACCACTTCCGGCTTTTTTCTTTTTGCTTATGTGGTGCTGAGGAATCGAACCCAGGGCCTCAGGCATGCAAGGCAAGCGCTCTACCACTGAGCCATCTTCCCAGCCCCTATACTGGAACTTGGAACTTGATCTCAGGGCCTAGATACTGCCCCTTAGTTTTATTGCTGAAAGATGACTCCTGGTCATTGTCCTCCATGAATAGTCTGTCTTCCAGTACTTGAACCTTTCTGCTACTTGAGTCACAGTTCTACTTTTGGCTTTAGTTAGTAGTCGTCGTAGTTGTCATCGTAGTAGCAGCAGTAGCAGCAGCAGCAGCAGTGGTGGTGGTGGTGTTATTATTACTTTTTTTTTAACAGTAGTGGTTAATTATAGATCAAAGTCTCAGGGACTTTCCTGCCTGGGCTGTCTTCAAATCTCTATCCTCAGATCTCAGCCTCCTGAGTAGCTAGGATTATAGGTGTGAGCCAGCAGCACCTGGCAGAAGGACCCTCTGAACCAAGCCCCCCTGCCCTGAACTCCAGCACCTCTGTCCCTCCCATCTACTCTTCTTCTTCTTCTTCCTCTTCCCCCACCCAATCTTCCTCCACCCCTTTTCCTCCACTTCCTTATCTTCATTCTGCCCTTTTTCCACTCCCTCTTCCTTCTCCTCCTTTTCTTCCAAGCTCCTCCTTCCCCTTTCCCTCCTTCTTGTCTTCCTTCCTCTTCCAGCTTCTAGTATGGATAACATGGGGACTCCACACTGCCCCCTAAGGGAGCCATGCAGTAGGACATGGCACATCCCACACTCAGTAAAGGAAAAGATGGTGACCAAGAAGACAAGGATACAGCCGGCATAGAGCATGAAAAGGGAAAAGTAGCAGCAGGCAGTATGTCTCAGACCTCTCAGCAGGGCTATGGTGGGGCTGCTCACCTTTGAGAATGTTCAGGATTAGAATCAGCACAGGCCCACTGAGAGGAGCGCTGGGCACATACAACACGGAGTCCCCAAGGCTGGTGCTCAACGGGTGCTCAATCAGCTCTGCTTGGTAGTTGTTCAGGTCCTCAACTGTCATAATGCCTCCTGCAAAGGGACAGCAGCTTGATGGACATGAGAATCGGGCTGTGCCATGAGGAAATAGCAGGGCTGCATTATGTGGGGACTGGCCTCCACCATTGAGGTTGAACCATGGAGCAAGCCAAGGGTACACTACTGGCAGAGGTGGGGGTGGGGCAGACATGGAGAGGGACCAGGAGTTGTACCATTGGGTAGAAGGAGGTGAGGGCTGTACCACCAGAAAAAGCCACATAACCACCAAGCTAGGGCCTCAGGCTGTCTGCGCTCCCTTACCACCCATGGCCAGGCCAGGCCAGACACCCCTCAATCTGCTCAGTTCATTGGTTTCCTGGCCTGCTTGCTTTCCTCTCCACAGAGCCTTTTGCAAGTAGAGAATACCTGCTTCCATCTGCTGTCCCTGCCCCCCCCCCCAGGCCCCTCCTCTCTTGATTAATGATAAAGGGGACAAGGGAGGGAGGGAGAGAGGGAGGAAGGCTCTTAATTCTTCAGGGAACCAGCTCCAAATAGAGTTGGCTGAAAGGTCAATGTGCTAATCACCCTCCTCCATAAAACCCAGACAAAAGTAACAAGAAAATGGTCACCCTTGGGGCCTGCCCCACAGAGGCCCTCTGGTACTTGTAAAAGCTCATGTTCACCCTGTGATCTCCCAGTGAACAAAGCTTTCCCACATCCCTCCTGGCCTTACTCCAAGCTTCTACTCAGTCAGATAGCACTTGTACTCTCTCCCTTGACTGGGCTGCCATCTGCAGCCCAGCTGCCACCTCTTACAATGTGTCCTCTCTGATCTTCCTGGAGCCATGGGCAGCACGCTACTGCTTCCCTAGCCTAGGATTCTGCCTATCTCTTCATTCACCTGCCAGAGACTTTCCTTCCTCCGTGATGGAACCAGGAGCTGCAGACTTAGGTGGCCTATCCATGATGTTCCCGTGCCAAGAACACCCTGAAGCCAACGCCCAGACCAGGCAGGCCAAAAGGACTTCAGAGTCTGGATCCTGGCTCAGAGTTCCCACTGTGGAATTCCTCACTAGGACCCCCAAAATGCTCACTCACCAGCCTCCTGGATGTCCTTTACAATCTGGGCAGTGAGGCTCCCGTTGTAGAAGGCCTGGGGGCCCTCTTCAGCCAGTGTCTGATAGGTGTCAGCCAGCCGTGGCATGGTCACTATATCTCCTTCCTGGAGCACTTTCCCATTGCGGCAGAAAATCTCACTGGGGGAGGGGGGGGGGCGGGTCACATGATATAGCAGGTGGAGCAGATTAGGCCAGATCACCCCATCCACCCATCCACTAGTTTGAACAAAGCAACAAATGGACAGAGCCTCACAGGTGTCCCTTGGGGGGCCAATTGTCCCATATCACTCAAGCCACGCCTGCCCTGACTCTGCTCCAAGACAGGCCAGTCCTTGCAGACCTACCACAGGGCAGGTGTCTGTTCAACGACATCCTGTTTTCTTTTCAGGGCCCCTGCCAGGCCCTTGCCCACTGGGAAGCCCTCTCGAGCCAGCTGGATGCTAGGCTGGAAGAGGCGATGCCATGGAAGCCGTCCATGCCGCCGGTGGGCCAACTCATAGCCACGGATCTCACCAGGAACTGCCACAGATAACCCACCTGGAAGGAGAAAGAGTAACAGTAATGCCCCCAAGCAGAAGACATACGAGACTTTTTGTTTTGCTTTGGTTTTTTGGTCGGTCGTGGGGCTTGAACTCTAGCTTGGGTGCTATCCCTCAGCTCTTCAGCTCAAGGCGAGTGCTCTACCGCTTGAGCCACAGCACCACTTCCGGTTTTCTAGTGGTTTATTGGAGATAAGAGTCTCACAGACTTTCCTGCCCGGGCTAGTTTTGAACCGTGATCCTCAGATCTCAGCCTCCTGAGTAGCTAGGATTATAGGCATGTGCCACCAGCGCCCAGCTTTGTCTTTTCTTTTTTGGTACTGGGGATCGAACCCAGGATGTCACACTTGCTAGGCAAGTACTTTGCCACTGAGCTACATCCCAGCCTCATATGGGACTTTCTATGGGACTTTTTTTTTTTCTGCTTATGTGGTGCTGAGGAATTGAACCCAGGGCCTCAAGCATGCAAGGCAAGCGCTCTACCACTGAGCCACCTTCCCAGCCTCATATGGGACTTTCTAAGGCAACATCCCAGGTACCTTCTGTGACTTATTTTAGGGCATAGAAGGAAAGGGGCTATGCATATGTGGTGCTGGCTATTCAAACCCAGGAGCTCACACAGGCTAGGCAAGCACACTACCACTCAGCCACACTCCCAGCCCAACAAAAAAGGAATTTTATGATCATCTGTGGGCAAGCATTCAGATTGACTAGGGGTGTTTCCCAGGACACAGGATGGGGAGCTGGTGGCCCATATACTGGGTTTTACTGACCAGAGATTGTAAGTGCCCCAAAGTGCCTCCACATTTGCCTGTACACGGTCCACAGTTACCCAGAGAGACCAGAGGGAAGACAGATTCTCTCCTATCTCTCAGTCTAGGCCACAACTACCTCTAGCCACAAGGCCTCTTATCCCATCAGACTCAGACTCCACTAGAACCTTCCAAAGCAAGATCAGATCCTGCCCTGGGGCTGGGATGCAGCTCAGTGGCAAAGTGCTTGCCTAGAATGCAGAGCCCTGGGTTTGATCCCCATTACCAAAAAAGAAAAGACAAAAAAATACAGTTAAAATGTACTCATTATCTTGCCCATGTAATTGTAACCCCTCTGTACAGTATTTTCACAATTAAAAAAAAAAACACATCTGAATAGATCTTGCCCTACTTTCAATTCGAGCCCAGGGGATCCTCAAGGCTTAGCTGGTACAGAGGAAGGGACTCCCTTCTTCTTTTCTACAGTTTTCAGTGCCCTAATGCCCTGTCCTCTCTCTGGGTCCATTTCCCCACTTGACTCTAAGGGGGGGAGGGGGAGAAGGGGAAGTCTTCATCATCCAGGTTGTTTTCTCGTGTGTGTGTGTGTGTGTGTGTGTGTGTGTGTGTGTGTGTGTGTGTGTTGGTACTGGGGCTTGAACTCAGGGTATTGAGTTCTCTCTTAGCTTTTTTGCTCTAGATAAGTGCTCTACCACTTGAGCCACACCCCCATCGCTGTCTTTTTTGCTGGTCAATTATGGAGAAGAGTCTCATGGATTTTCCTGCTCTAGCTGACTTACACAGAAGTATAAGTGTAAAATGGGAGGCTTGTGGTCCAGGTGCTTGCCAAAAACCAAGATTCCATTTGAAAGGATTAGTGTAAAAAGATCAGGCTGGGGGCATGGTTCAGTGATTAAAAAAAAACAAAACAACAACAACTGGCTAGCAAGCTTGAAGCCTTGAGTTTAAAACTGTTTTCCCCACTCTCTCCCCAAAAGAAATCCTCTTCTAACCTCAAAGCAATCAAGGTCTCATGATACCCTGTGTGCCAAGCCCACTAATGAGCCGTGGGCTGTTTGTTGTTGTTTTGTGACAGTCCTAGGGCTTAACTCAGAGCCTGAGTACTGTCCCTGAACTTTTTCACTCAGGGTTAGCACTCCACCACTTGAGGCATAGCTCAACTTCTAGCTTCTTGGTGGTTAATTGGACATCAGAGTCTCGTGGACTTTCCTGGCTGGGCTGACTTCAAACCACAATCCTCAGATCTCAGCCTCCTGAGAAGCTAGGATGACAGGCAAGAGCAATCAGAACCCAGCTGTCTTTTTTTTTTTTCTTTTGAGATAGGAGTCCCAATCTGAAGTCTTATCTGACCTTGAGCTTTCAGTCCCCCTTTCTCAGCCTCCCAGGCACTGGGATTACAGGGATGCACTACCTCGTCTGTCCTCCTCAGATTTTCCATCGCTCTTTCCTGAACTACCTTTGGGTCACACTCCCCTGGTTCTCCTTATCCCTTCTGCCTTCTTCCCTATCTCCTACCATCTTCCCTCTCTTCCTTGGTGGTGTTTCCAGCTCCATGTTTCAGGTTCTACCTGTGAACTGACAAACTTTTAAATGCATCCTCTGGCCTGACTAGCAGACCCAAGTATCCACCTGCCAGCTTGGAACAGGTATCTCAAACTTAACCTGCCCCAAACTACATTCCAGGCATCCCTGCTCAACCCCCATCCCTGACAGCCCTATATGTCTCTGAGCACAGACTTTCCATGTACACATCTCAACCAAACAACAAATTACAGGCTTCCTCTTTCAGTACGAGTTACTGCCAACCACCCTCTACTGTCTCTGGATTATTTGAGTGACCTCCTGCTGAGTCTCAGAGTCTCCTTGCCCCTTTGTACACCAGCCTGGACTTCTCACCTCACTCTGAGGTGACCTATGAGGTCCCAACCTACTTAAGCGGTTTTTTCCAATGCCATATATTCATCCTTCTGGGTTTCTTTTAGCAGCTTCGGTGGTACCCTGCAAAATGTTACCTCTGCTTATTCCAGCTGGATCACTCAGTCATCCTTGCCTTCCTTGAGATGCCACATGACTACTCCTACCCTGCCCTGCCTCTGACACTATCCTAAGTAAAAATCCTACCCACCGGCCACCAGCTCTGTGATCTCCACTGCAAAAGGCCCTTGGTGTCTGTGGCCTCAGCCTCTTCTTCCTCGCCACAAGGAATGTGCCCACCCAACTATATTGTTTGCCTTTGTTCTGTACCTGGGTTTTGGGAACAAAGTGTGATGCTGTAAGAGGGACTGAAGAGGTTCAAGTTGGGCTGGGAAGGTGGCTCAGTGGTAGGGTGCTTGCCTTGCATGCATGAGGCCCTGGGTTCGATTCCTCAGCACCACATAAGCAGAAAAAGCCAGAAGGGGCACTGTGGCTCACGTGGTAGAGAGCTAGCCTTGAGCTGAAGAGCTGAGAGACGGTGCCCAGGCCCAGAGTTCAGGCCCCACGACCAACCAAAAAAAAAAAAGAGGGTCTGACAAGGTGGCTCAGTGGTAGAGTGCTCGCCTTGCATGCATGAGACCCTGGGTTTGATTCCTCAGCACCACATAAGCAGAAAAAGCCGGAAATGGGACTGAGGCTCAAGTGGTAGAGCGCTAGCCTTGAGCTGAAGAGCTGAGGGACAGTGTCCAGGCCCAGAGTTCAGGCCCCACGACCAGAAAAAAAAAAAAAAAGAAGAAGAAGTTCAAGTTAAGGGAGTAAATTCCAAACATCCACACGATGCTAAGTCTGTAAGATTCCAGCATTCCCATATTCCTGGGCAATTTCATTTCTACACATTCTGTATTTCTCAAAGTATATTTTTTTAAAAAAATAGCCAGGCGCACCTGTAATCCTAGCTACTCAGGAGGCTGAAATCTGAGGATCACAGTTCAAAGCCAGCCCAGGCAGGAAAGTCCATGAGACTCTTAATCTCCAACTAATTACCAGAAAAACTGGAAGTGGCGGTGTGGCTCAAGTGGTAGAGCGCTAGCCTTGAGCTGGAGAGCTGAGGGACAATGCTCAGGCCCAGAGTTTAAGCCCTATGACCAACAACAACAACAAAAAAGAATGCCAAAGTCCATGAATGCTAAAGTCCCTTATAGAAAATGAGGTTGTAGGTACATATTACCCATCCACATTGTCCTGTACCGTGTGTGTGTGTGTGTGTGTGTGTGTGTGTGTGTGTGTGTGTGTGTGTGTGTGTGTGTGTGTGTGCGCGCACTGGTGCTGGGCTTGAACTCAGTGTCTGGGTGCTACCCCTTAGATTTTTTTTCTTCTTCTTCTAGTCCTGGAGCTTGAATTCAGCCTCGGTAATGTCCCTCAGCTTTTGTGCTCAAGGCTAGTGTTCTATCCCTTGAGCCACAGCTTCACTTCTGTTTATGGTTAATTGGAAAGAGCCTCATGAACCTTACTGCCTAAGTGCTGGCTTTGAATCCCAATCCTCAGACCTCAGCCTGCTAAGTAGCTAGGATTATAGGAATGAGATGCTGGTGCCACTGGGCTCCTTAGCTTTTTTGCTCAAGGTTGATGTTCTACTACTGGAGCCACAGCTCCACTTCTAGACTTTTTTGGTGGTTAATTAGAGATAAGAGTTTCACAGACTTTCCAGGAACTGGTCCTCATGTTACTTCTAGTCATACTATGGTTACAGTGTTTGTTTGTTTGTTTGCCAGTCCTGGGGCTTGAACTCTGGGCCTAGGTGCTATCCCTGAGCTCCTTTTGCTCAAGGCTAGCACTTTTCCGTTTTGAGCCACATAGTCACTTTCTGTTTTTTGTGTTTAATTAAAGATGAGTCTCAGGCAGGCACTGGCTCAAGCCTGTAATACTAGCTACTCAGGAGGCTGAGCTCTAAGGATCACCATTCAAAGATAGTCCGGACAGGAAAGTCCATGAGACCCTTATCTCCAATAAACCACCAGAAAACCATAAGTGGCACTGTGGCTCAAGTGGTAAAGCACTAGCCTTGAGCTGAAGAGCTGAGGGACAGCGCACAGACCCAGAGTTCAAACCCCACAACTGCCAAAAAAAAAAAAAAAGATGAGTCTTATCTACCTGGGCTGGCTTTGAACCACCATTCTTAGATCTCAGCCTCCTGAATAGCTATGATTAAAAGTGTGAGCCACCAGCTTGGTTAGTGTATTTAATCCAGAGCAAATAGTATGTAAATAGTTGCCATACTGTATCATTTAGGGAACCAGGGTAACAGTCTGTAACGTTCAATACAGACACAGAACCTATGGATACGGAACTAGTGAATATAAAGGATCAACCATGATGGATTTCCTCCATGTACAACTCCGGAGGAGCCTGAGCAGAAATGACAGGCTGGGTGCCAGTGGCCATGCCTATAATCCTAGCTATTAAGGACCCTGAGATCTGAGGAATGCTTTTGTTTGTTTGTTTTTTTTTGCTGTTTCTGGGGCTTGAACTCTGGGCCTGGACACTGTCCCTGAGCTTCAGTGGAAGAGCACAAGGCTCTGAATTCAGGCCCTAGTACCGGCACAAAATGATGATGATGATGATGATGATGATGATGATGATGATGATGATAACATGAAGTAAAGAAATGGCACAATGATGGTTTGTGTATTCAGTATGGGAGGGTGTCACGGCACCATGAAGGGGCAGGAGAGGTACTACAGCTGTCACCAGACATTGGACAGGTGCATGATTCTGTAGATGAAGCAACTTCTCCATGGGGACACCATGGCTTAGCCCCACATCCTGAGCTCATGAGGCAGCTTACCTTCTTCAGACTGTTTGGAGTCATTGAACATGTTTTCATGGGCCAGCCGAGGAGCTACCTCACGAGCATTGATGATCTCAACTTTTCCTGGAAGGAGAAGCAAGTAGGTAAGAAGACACCTTCCCCAACCCCAACCCCTCCTACCAAGGGAACCCAGGGGTCATCCAGTTATGCTGTACCCCAGCCCAAGTCCACAAGGATACCAAGCCCAAGGATACAGATGGGCACCCATGCCGCCCACCCTCCCCTTCCCCAGACACTCACGTGTGGTGCTGTTGTATATGGTGAGAAAGAGGCCGCCCCCAATGCCCATGCTGTGTGCATTCATGAGTCCCATGCACAGCAACCCAGCGATGGCTGCATCCACTGCTGAGCCGCCCTCCAGCAGCATGTCCCTGTCAGCAGCATGTGGGAAGGGGAGTCCTGAGGCTCTCCAGTCCCCAAGCTTATTCTACCACCTACCTGCTCATTTCCTCCTAGTCATTCTGCACAAAGAAAAGTAGAGGAGTCTATGCCAAGGTTTGTTTGTTTGGAGACAACCTCAGTATATGAAATCAGCTCAGGCCGGTCTAAATGGCCTTGAACCTTTTTTTTTTTTTTCCATTTTGATAACTGCCTTTTTTGGTCAGTCATGGGGTTTGAACTCTGGGCCTGGACACTGTCCCTGAACTCTTCAGCTCAAGGGGAGGGCTTTACCACTTGAGCCACAGCACCACTTCCAGTTTTCTGGTGGTTAATCAGAGATAAGAGTCTCACAGATTTACCTGCCTGGCTAGCCTTGAACCACAATCCTCAAATAGCCTCCTGGGTAGCTAGGATTACAGGTGTGAGCCACTGGCACCCAGCTGATCATTTTATATGATCAGAGGCACAGAGGAATTCTCTTGATCCTCCTGCCTCAGCTTCCTAAGTGCTCAGGTTATAAGTATGTAGCACCAGACTAGTTTTTTTTTTTTTTTTTTTGGTCAGTCCTGGGGCTTGAACTCAGTACCTAAATGCTGTCCCTGAGCCTTAATGCTTAAGGCTAGTGATCTTCTACTTTAAGTCATAGCTTCAATTCTGGCTTTTTTTTTTTTTTTTTTTTTGGTCGGTTGTGGGGCCTGAACTCTGGGCCTGGGCTCTGTCCCTCAGCTCTTCAGCTCAAGGCTAATGCTCTACCACTTAAGCCACAGTGCCACTTCTGGCTTTTTCTGCTTATGTGGTGCTGAGGAATTGAACCCAGGGCCTCATGCATGCAAGGCAAGCACTCTATCACTGAGCCACCTTCCCAGCCCCTGGCTTTTTTTTTTTTTTCTGGTTAATTGGAGATAAGAGTGTGGTGACCTTTCCTACCAGGGTTAGCTTTGAACTGTGATCCTCAGATCTCGGGCCTCCTGAGTAGCTAGGATTACAGGCATGAGCCACCAGCACCTGGCATAAATTGTTGGTGTTTTTTGTTGGTGTTGTTGTTCTTGTTCTTTTGTTTTTCGGTTGTTGGGCTTGAACTTGGGGCCTGGGAGCTGTCCCTAAGCATTTTTTGTTCAAGGGTAGCACTCTACCACTTTTAGCTACAGCGCCACTTCCAGTGTTCTGGTGGTTAACTGGAGATAAGAGTCTCATGGACATTCCTGTCCAGGCTGGCTTCTCAGCCTCTTGAGTAGCTAGGATTACAGGCATGAGCCACCAGCACCTGGCAAGTTTTGTTTTTTAAAAACATAATTTCTTGTAATACCTATATATCTGATCATATAAAATATATATTAAAATGAACTCCAAATTAAAAAAGAAACATTATTTCTTCTTTTTAAAGCTAGCAAGCATACATGGCAGTTGAAAAAAAAGGAAAAGTTTTTTTTTTGTTGTTGAAAGTGGGGCTTGAATTCTGGGCCTGGGAGCTGTCCCTGAGCTCCTCAGCTCAAGGCTAGCACTCTACCACTTGAGCCACAGAGCCACTTCTGGTTTTCTGGTGGTTAATTGGAGATAAGAGTCTCACAGACTTTCCTGACTGGGCTAGCTTAGAACCGTGATCCTCAGATCTCAGCCTCCTGAGTAGCTAGGATTATGGGCATGAGCCACCAGCTCCTGGCTTGCATTCTTCCTATTTATGCTTCCTGCATCTATGGGATGACAGGTGGGTACTGGTTGAGACTTTGGCCTTGAGAACTTTTTGCCTGGTTGACCTCAAATCAAAATCTTTCTGATCTCTACCTCCCAAGTAGCTAGGATGACAGTTGGCTAGAAAATAGATTTCTATTAGTGACATTTTTTGGCTTTTAAGTAAGAATTGGTCTTTGTAGATCATGTGTGATAGCTAAAATAGAACATAACAGCAGCGTTTATCCAGAGATATTCATAGAACTGTGGGAGTGAGGGGCAAGAAGGCCCAAGCTGACTGTTCAGAGACCAATATCCTGTTCACAAAGTCATCATTCCTTCTCTCCTGACTAGAGGTTAGCAAGAGAAGCCAAGGAACCCAAAGGTGTAACACCTATGTGCATCTGATCATATAAAATCATATTCATCAAAATGAACTCCAAGAAATGGAAACAAGAGGGTTTTCTTTTTTGTCTTGTTTGTTCATTTGTCTGTCTTTGAGAGGGTAAGAGGAGGCACAGAAATCGGACAAAGGCTGAACAAAGGCAGCAGTGGTACTCACTGGCCACTATGTTGAAAATACAACTTGTAGGTGGAGATGGGAGGGAAAAACTGGGACAGAGCGAGGGAAGAGGTGACATTATTAAAAAAAAAAAAAAGTACTCATTACCTGACTTATCTAATTATAACCCCTCCTTACATCACCTGTACAATAACAACAAAAATATTTTTTAAAAAAGAGGTCAAGGAAAGGCCAGGCCAAGCACACCAAATACTGTTTGTCTAGACCGATCAGTTACAGTTGGGGAAACTGAGTCTTTGAGGGGCAAGGAGATGACCCACTCACCTCCCAATCTCTGAGCAGCGCTTAGCATCTGCAGCTACCGCTGCTTTACGGTACACATGGTCAGATCCCCTGGAAGAGGAGGGCAGCCAAAGGCAGAGGCCAATGACAACAGCCACCACAACCACCGCCAACAGGCCCAGCATCACCAACCGATTCTTCATGGCTCTGTACCTGGTCTGCACAGGGTAGGGTGAAGAACAAGGTCAGGCCCAACTTTGGCCACTCCCAGACCATGCCCCTCTCCCATAGCGCACAGTCTAAAGTCAAGCCTCAGAAACACAACCCTGTGTCTCCTTCCAGCCTCCTAAAAGATACAGGCTGTCCTGACTCTAGATCTTTGGTCAAGATGTTTCTTCGGTCAGCAGCTTTGGATGCCATCTCTGCCCTCCCAAATCTTCCCTGATTGTTTCCAGACCTAAGCCCAGTGAGGACCTCAACTCTAAGAGAGACCCTGCCTGGGAAACCATTCATGTGCCCTGTCTACTTCCACCCAGCAGCTGAGCATCCTCTGCCTAGTGGGAGGCTCCAGGAATGACACACCTAGTTTCTATGTCCCCCACCCCAGCCCAGAACCTAGCCACTGTCTGCGGGTCCCATAGAATAGCACACCGTGTGCCCATTTAGTGTCCCTGAGGGCCAAGGAGGTGTGCCCCAGTATCCTAAAACAATCACACCACAGCTACCATGGGGCCAGAACTTACCGTGTAGCAGCAGATAAGAAGCCCAAGCTTTTGTCTGGAAGGTGTGATCCCAAAGACAGGAAGTTTTGGCTGCAAACAATCTGTGGCCCCAGAATCTTTTTTTTTTTTTTACAGAATCCCACACCAGTCAGACTCCTTATTCCCCTGAAAATCACAAGGATAGATCTGAAGCAGGTCCAGCTCTTTCTGCGAGTGGTGGGTATGGCGGGGAGGGAGACTCAGTGTGAGTCCTTCTGCTCTAGATGGTTCGCTGCCTCCAGTTGAACTCTGGAGTCAAAGAAGCTGTCAGCCCATGCATATGTCCGCATGACTTCTCCCAGCCTTTCTCCCAGGGTGCCTGGGAGAAAGTTTACAAAGTTTACAAAGCAGATATCTGTGTACAAATCCAAGATCTGGTGGTGTGTCCTGTCGCAGAAGGGACTAAGGGGCCTGAGCCAGCCTGCCCCTCTCTGAGTCTGGCCTACTATAGGACTTGGGCAAGTCACTTCTCAAGTCTAGTGCTGGCCTCTCTCACTAAGGGGTATTGTCCATTAAGTGGGCTAGAATAGAAGCACTAGAGGGAGGGGGGATGAGAGATGAGTATCCTATGTATACATTGTATCATAGATGGGCATGTCAAAATGAAATGTCCAGCTGGGAACCAGTGGCTCATGGCTGATTATCCCAACTATTTAGGAGTCTGAAATCTGAAGACTGTGATGTGAAGCCAGTCTAGGCAAGAAAGTCTGTGAGACTCTTTTTTTGGGGGGGCGTGGGGTGGGGAGTCCGGTCGTGGGGCCTGAACCCTGGGCCTGGGCACTGTCCCTCAACTCTTCAGCTCAAGGCTAGAGCTCTACCATTTGAACCACAGCCCCACTTCCGGCTTTTTTTTTTCTTTTTGCTTATGTGGTGCTGAGGAATCAAACCCACGGCCTCATGCATGCAAGGCAAGCACTCTACCACTGAGCCACCTTCCCAGCCCCGTCTGTGAGACTCTTATCTCCAATTAACCACCAAAAGGCCAGAGGTAGAGCTGTGGCTCAAGTGGCAAAGTACCAGTCTTGAGTGACAAAGCTAAGGGACAGTACCCAGACCCTGAGTTCAAGCCCCAGTCCCAGCACATAAGAAAAAAAAAATCAAGGAAAAGAAAAGAATGAAGGGTTAAGTAGATGTTGGCTAAGTAGATGTTCTTACTGTGGCTACACTAGAGGATGGTCATCAGTGGACCACTCCCTGGCTGTGTATTTCCTTCTGGGCCATCCAGGACAGCTGCAGCCTCAGAGTCCCTATGGTGGTGGTAGCAGATTAAGGATATGACTGAACCAGGTAAGGAGAAATGTGGCCACAGGACAAGGGGCTCCTTTCCCCACACTCTATTCCTTCCACAAGAAGCATCCACCAATGACCCTCTTCAGAGAGCCTCAGGCTGGATCCCCCTCTGCTTTCTGTTCAGAGCATCTGAACTCAGAGCCAACCAGGATATACCAGAGATGATTTAGGAGTGGAGGATACTCAGAGGAGTGCTCGCACCTGTGGAGGATAGCATTCCAGACACAACAAGGAAAAGTGGCTTAGTGGGCTGGGAGTGGTGGATGGCGTAAGATTTGACCTGGGCTGGGAATGTGGCTTAGTGGAAGAGAGCTTGCCTTAGCATGCATGAAGTCCTGGGTTCAATTCCTCAGTACCACATACACAGAAAAAGCTGAAGGTGGCGCTGTGGCTCAAGTGGTAGAGTGCTAGCCTTGAGCAAAAGAAGCTCAGGGACAGTGCCCAGGTCCTGAGTTCAAACCCCAGACTGGAAAAAAAAAGGGGGGGGGGGGGGCTGGGAATGTGGCCTAGTGGTAGAGTGCCTGCCTAGCATGCATGAAGCCCTAGGTTCAATTCCTCAGTACCACGTACACAGAAAAAAGCCAGAAGTGGCACTGTGGCTCAAGTAGAGTGCTGACCTTGAGCAAAAAGAAGCTCAGGGACAGTGCCCAGGCTCTGAGTTCAAGCCCCAGGACTGGCAAAAAAAAGAAAAAGATTTGAACCCTCATCTTAGGAGAAAAATACAAAGACTTCAAGCTCTTGATGTAGAGGGGGAAACTGAGCCCCAAAGCAGCAGGACCAGGTGCAAAGTTGCTCATGCCTATAATCCTAGTTACTCAGGAGGTAGAGATCTGAGGATCGAGGTTCAAAGCCAGCCCAGGTAAATGAATCTGAGAGATTCTTTTATTTTATTTCATTTCATTTCATTTTGGTGCCAGTCCTGAGGCTTGAACTCAGCAACTGGGCATTGTCCCTGAGTTTTTTTGCTCAAGGCTAACACTCATCACTTGAGCCAAAGCTTCACTTCTGGGCTTTTTGATAGTTAATTGGAGATTAGAGTCTCATGGACTTTGCTGTCTGGGGTTGGCTTTGAACTTCGATCCATAGATCTCAGCCTCTCTGAGTAGCTAAGATTATAGGTGTGAACTACTGGCTCCCACCAGCAAAATGTGTGGAGCATCAACCTTTTTTTTTTTTTTTTGGGTCTGGTCGTGGGGCCTGAACTCTGGGCCTGGGCGCTGTCCCTCAGCTCTTCAGCTCAAGGCTAGCGCTCTACCACTTGAGCCACAGTGCCACTTCCGGCTTTTTTCTTTTTTGCTTATGTGGTGCTGAAGAATCGAACCCAAGGCCTCATGCATTCAAGGCAAGCGCTCTACCACTGAGCCACCTTCCCAGCCCTCCACCTTACACTTCTATCCACTTTCTCTGTCCGCCAAAAAGCAGCCAGAGGGCTCTGTGGTTCAAAGTATCAAACAAGCCCCACCTTGTTCACTGTCCATACCCTTTACCAGGCCTCAGGTATACTGACACTGGATTGTGATGAGAAGTCTGGGTCCAGGTTAAGAGTTCATGATGAGAGTCACATTAGGAATTCCAAGGAGCCCTAGATGCTGAGCCAGCAACAAGTGACATCCTCATTCTGTGTGTGTGTGCATGTGTGTGTGTGTGCGCGCCCGTGCGTGCACGCACGCGCATGCGCGCTCATGTGTGTGCTGGTACTGGGGCTTGAACTCTGGGCCAAGACACTATCCCTTAGCTCTTTCCACTCAAGGCTGGTGCTCTGCCATTAAATGGAGCCACAGCTCCACTTTTGGTTTTTTGATGGTTAATTGGAAATAAGAATCACACAGACTTCCCTGCCAGGTCTGTCTTTGAAACTTGATCCTCAGATCTCAGCCTTTTGTGTAGCTAGGATTACAGGCATACCAGCCCCTTGCTTAGCATTATCCATTTTGAACACAGAGCATTCTCATCATATGTAGTGGGGCCGGAGTGTTCCCCACAGTCCTGGTCCACTCTGGGCAGTACTTAGGTCCTCATTTCTCCCAGGTTCCTGGGAGTAAGGCAACCATGATTCCCTGAGATACATGTTCCAGTCTCCTTAGCTATTTAAAGGTCCAAGTAAGGGGACCTAACAAAAATCAGACTGCCAGGGAGCAGAGAGCCATGACTGGGTAGCACAAATCCTATCTCCCCTTTCCAAGCCAGGGAGCACTGGCCCAGCCTCCCAAAGGCAGATATTCCCAGCACAGAGGAAGACACCCTGCTGGGGGACTAGGCTTTCATTTCCTACCCTTCCACCCTCAAGTTTCCTCACTCACTGAAAGAATGTTCAAGCTCAGAAGCCTGGCTCTTACCCAAATCAGTGTCAGGAGGGGAAACCAAGGCTAGAGATAGAGTCATTCATCGCACTGAGCTTCACACCCAGGCCCTCCCTCCACGGAACCCTGGCGAGTTTACCTGAGGCTCAGCAAAAGGGTCCAGGAGAAAGCCCTCTCTTCAGAAGATAGTTCTGGACTGGGGTACCCGCTGGGGAGGAAAAAGCAGATTTGTCCTCCTGGGAAAATCCTGGCCACAGAACTAGCTGTTCCTCCCCACCTCCCAGAAGCAGAAGCTGCCAGAGCCACGCCTGTGGCCCTTGCTGAGCTCCTCGGGGGATCTCCAGATTGGGATTAGGATGGGGTGGGGGGCACCTTGGTCGGGGTCAGGAAAGGAGTAGTAGTGGTTGAATTCTCCTATGCTTAGAACTCAGTCAGGGGCCACCAGCATTCCCAACCTGAGATCGACATCTGGAGTCATCTGGATGGGACCTAGGACAGGCAGTTCTTTGTCTGGGGTCCAACCAAGCAGGAAGTATGGTCGCAGGCATGTCATAGCAGTAAAAAGGCACGGAAACTAGGCTTGTTACCAAGGTGATTGAAGTATGTACAGCCCATGGCAGGCCCCTGAGCAGGAGAGGGGAGGACACGATGACCTTCAGCAAAGAGTTCCTCCCTCTCAAACTCAGTTCCTTCCAAATGGCATCCTCCACTGGTCAGCCCCTCCAGGGAGCTCCAGAACTGGGTGCTCCTCTGTTTCTCTCTGTCCCTGTTCAAAAGTTCTCAGCTCAGAGCCAGATACAGTGTCCCACAGACGGCTTCCTGAGACAAAAAAATAAGGGTGCCTGGCTACCAGACCTCAGCCTAGATCGTGCCACCAGATGCCAGAGGCCCATCCCAGAAAGCTCCAGCATCCAGACCGGTTCAACCACCACCAGTCCAGGAATATTAGCACTTCAGGCAGGGCCCAGAGAAGGCCAGAGCTGACCCAAAGTCACACAGCCCAGCAGTGCTGTCCTGCTACCCCATACCTGCTCCGAGTTGTTGTATGGCCCTGAAAAGTTCACTAAGGAAGTCTCAAGAAGAAGGTGCTGTGTGTCTGACTCCCAAGGAGCCTCAGTCACTTTCCCCCCATTATCCCTTAACTCACATGGCTCTTTCTCTCCCTTCCTCCCTCTCTGGTCAGCTATGCACATAGGCTAATGAATTCCCATCCTTGGGAATATGTAATCCTTTCCCAGAGGTGCTGACTGCTGACTCCACTGCTCCCAACACACACACACTCACACACACACACACACACACACACACACACACACACACACACACACACACTCCCCTCTAAGTTGAATCTAGGCTGAGCAGAGCAGATTCCCAGACACACTGGAGAGGAAAAGACAGCAAACAGTCAGCCTGGAGACCCAAACAGAACAGTCAGCCTGGAGTTTTCCCTGCTAATCCTCCAGCCCAGCCTTCCCCAAGCCACAGGAAGAAACCTGAGGCCCAACTCTAAACCACTCACAGACAGGAAAACAGCTTAGGCAGAAACAATTTACTTAAGGTCAGCTGTTCCTGGCAGACACGTGGACCCACAGGTAAGTCCAGGCCCTACTTCATTCAGGGTGGAGTCACCTCCTCTGAGGGTATGAGAACAAACAGATAGCCTGGCCTGAACCCCTGGCCAGGACTTTCACTGCTCCTTACACAGGAAGCCGGAGTCTGCCTCCTTGACTGCCCAACCTGGTGACCTAGAGTGGAGTATGGGCGGTGGGATGGAGGGAGTTTCTTCCCTATAAATTAAAACCCACAACTTGCTGGAAATCTGTTCAAACAGGTATCTACTAAGTATGACCTTGAGGCAGGAGCAGAAGCCCCCTGGAATTAGGTAATGACCCCATCCATTGCACAATGGGTCTTGCCTCACCCCCCCCCCCCCAGCTCCACCCACAACCACAACCAAAGCCCAGTGAGAGGGGGTGATGTGGTCTGAGCATTGAGCACTTGCTCGTCCCTACTACAATGTAAGTCCTGCTCTTAGAGATGATTAGCAGCCCCTTCCCAGGTTGTCAGACCTTCCCCAGGCCTCAGTTTCTCCATCTACCCTTCCCTCTTCATCTCAAGTTCACTTCCTGGGAAGCTGGAGATGCCTCAGGAGTTTCTTCAGAGGGCACAGGTAACTCAAAAGCCTGAGCAGGCTGTCTCAAATCCACATGTCAGACAAGAAACAGAGCCCCTGCACCCATTTCAAGCCCAGTGAGTCAAAGAATCTCAGGGTCCTGCCTACCTGAGATACCAGACTGCAGTCTCTTGCCCGTCACAGTTACAGCAAAGCCATCACATGGTGGAACTGAAGATAGAATCCAAGATTCCACACTTCTGAGAGGCCCAAGCCTTAACTTCCCTACCAACTGTGTCCAGAAGCTCAGAGAGTGTGAGCGATACCACAGGGTCACAGAGCTGTTTGGGGAACAGCCAGACACCTGCTGGGCTCACACAGCACTGAGCTCATTTCTAGTCCTAGTCCCCATCCCAAGCTGTAACCCAGCTCCTCCCCTCCCTCCCCCTACCGGCCTAAGGTGGGAGGAAACTTTAAAGGTACAGGAATGATTCCAGGTTCTCTTTCTAGTGTCATGTGACCTCACACAGCTGCTATTCTCTCAAGCCCGCCATGAGAAATCTGAGCCCAGAGGACCCAAGTGGAGTTGAAGAAGGCTGGATTTCAGCCAAAGGTAAATCAGGACAAAGTTTCCCTGAATGAAAATGAGCCCCCTTCCCACACATTAATATCTAACTAGGGGCCACACAGAACTGGGGTACAACCAATACCTGTACGTTGGGGTTGTACAGTCATGTGAGGCCCACATGAAGTCTCAAGAACCTAAACGTCCGTCTACAATTCCAAGATCAGGAGGCACCCCTCCAAACATGCCCTTTCTCCACGCTCCAAGGCACAGGTTAGGAGTGTAGGGGCTATCACTCCACCATCTGGGTTAACCCAGACTGAAAGGAGTCACGTGACCCAAGGGAGTCTTTGTAATCCATGCCTTGGGCATGGGCAGTCAGGTCGCTGAAGGACACTAGGCTGTAGAAGCTGGTAGACAGGGACCTCCCTAGTCACCTCCCTGCCTGCTTTGGTCCACTGCATGAGATGCCTCCACAAGGCAACCCTCAGACCAAGCTCTAAGCCCTCTAAGTGAGATCCACACGGGATCTGTTGCCTACCACAATTGCCACTATTTGCACTGGCTAACAGTGGCTTATACTTATTCCTTCATTCCCTCTGGCATGCAGATCCTAGCCCCTTTGCATTCTTCTCTCCCGGAGACACCGGTCTAGCTGGAGATAAGATAGTATTGTCAGCCAAGGAGGAGAACCAAAGGCTATGAAGGAGAAGCATCCCCTAGGATGAGGGCCTTGGGATCTAGTCCAGAGCTGAGATTGGATTGGGGGGGTGGGGGTGGGGAGGGGACACTGCAGGTATAACAAGGCCAGGAAGTACAAGTTTATTCAGGAACAGTGAGTGCCCAGGTGAACCTTTTGAGTCTCTTGGGCTTTTCTTGAGCCCCGAGGCATCAAGTGTGGAAAGGAGGTGGCCAAGCCTAGACCTTGAAGGCCAGGCTTCTCTGGACTTTGAGAGGCCTGAGATACTGGTGAATATGTCACCATGCTAAGTAACCCATTAACCCTGGCTCACTCATTAAGACCCTGGTGGGTGCCATTAGCTCCTTGGCCAGTTCCAGGAACTGGACAGAGGGCAGAGGCCAGAGGGCATAGGAAGAATGGAGTGTGAATGGTGGCAGTAGATGAGAGGTGGCTGAGCTAGCCTCTCTGTTCCTGGAGATATTTTGCACTAGGTTGGCCTGAGAGATGTCAGCCCCTGACCCAATGCCTTTCCTCTTCTAATCATTCCTTCTGTGCTGCCACCAGATACCCATAGTGCCTTGGGGGCCGAAGTCAAGTAGGAGGTTCAAGGGTCCAATCTATGGGGAGGTGCTCACAACTCAATTCAGCTTCCCTGCAGAGAAATGGGCTCACAGTGGCCCCAAAGCCCTTCCTGTGCCTGCTTGGATGTTTCCCTTTTCCCTTTCACCCCTTATCTGGGATTTTAGAGACTGGAGGGGTAAGAAGTATATTCCAGCCAGGGAAACAAAAGCTGAGAGGGGAAGGGACCCACCCAAAGTCACTCAGCAGGATGAAGACTCACAAAAAGGGAAAATAGAGGAACCACTTCCTGAAACTGGTGGCTATCAGGTTCAGGAAGCTGATGCCCCTGAGTACCAGGAAGTGCTGAACCCCACACAGGTTACCGTAAAGGCCAAGGCTGATAGAACCGTGACAGCTAAGTTGCAGCCTCAGTGTGAGTAAGCAACGTAGGCAGGTCCAGACACTGGCTGCACATAGTCCATACTCCAGAACTTTGGGGACAGCATCTCCTGGGAGCTAATAAACCTGGTAAGATGCAGGACATTTTATGTCCCCACTTAGTAAACTGGCAAAAGAAACTGACTTCAAAAGCCAGGCACCGGAGTTCATGTCTGTAATCCTAGCTACTCAGGAGGCTGAGATCTGAGGACTGCTTGTGGTTCAAAGCCAGCCCAGGCAGGAAAGTCTGTGAGACTCTTAACTCCAATAAACTACCAGAAAACTGGAAGTGGTGCTGTGGCTCAAGTGGTAAAGTGCTATCCTAGAGCTGAAGAGCTGGGACAGTGCCTAGGCCCAGAGTTCAAGCCCCACGACTGACCAATAAACAAACAAAAAACTGATTTCAAAGATGTTTAGGATCATGGAATCTCAAGTGTTTGTTCTACTCTTCCAGCACTCCTGAAAAAGTTGGCTTACACATCTGCCCCAACCAGAAGCTCATCACCTCTGAAGACACCAAGATTAGCTGAGTGCCAGTGGTTCTTACCTGTAACGCTACGCTACTCAAGAGGCTGAGATCTGAGGGTCACAGTATGAAGCTAGCCCAGGTAGAAAGGTCCATGAAACTCTTATCTCCAATTAACCACAAAAAAGTCAGAAGCAGAGCTATGGTTAAAGTGGTAAAGTGCCAGCCTTGAAAGTACCAACCTTGAGTGAAAAAGCTAAGGGACAGCACTCAGGCCCCAAGTTCAAGTCCCAGTTCTATAATACACAGACACAGACACACATAGACACAGACAGACACACAGACACAGACAGAAAGACAGACAGACACACACACACACACACACACACACACACACACACACACACACACACAAAAGACTGCAGTAATTAGTAAGTTCTTCCCATTGTGAAGCCCCATGTGGGTGGCCTTCTATAGGCAGCCTAACTCAATCTCCTCCCAGTTGGCCAGATCTCAGATTCTGTCCACTGTTTGAAGCCACACAGCAGAGAAGCAGGGGCCAGACCCTGTGGCCACCCTGCCTCAACTTCTCAGAACCATGCAGCCCTCCTAGAAGGGTGGAAGGAAGAGTTCAACTCAGTGAAGGGACTGGTATCACCAGTGAGGGTCAGGAAGTAAGAACTGGCTAACCACACAGTAGGCAGAGTGCCTGTACCCTCAGAGCCCAGCCAAAATTCCCTGGCACTGTTCCCAGCATTCCCTATGCCAGCATCCATCTTTGATGTGAAGATGGAGCCTGGAGCTTAGCCAAATGTGTGGGTTTCCAGAATTATCGGCTTATTAATGCCTGGAAGCACTCAGCAACCGGGCTGGCCTGGCATCTAGTGGGCTATGTCTAGCTCCTAAATTCAGAAGGAAGATGGTAGGGTCATGGGCACAAAGGTGTCCAGGTTCAAGCAGACACTGACAGCATGAGGATCTGGGCAGCCTTTCCTTTCTTAGCCTAAGATTCCTATCTGGAGAGCAAAGATAGTTAAAGGATTCACTCAGATGACCATACACAGATTGCAATGACAACCAACCCCTCCAGAACCTGTTGGGGGGATGGCCTAGCTCCTTTCCCCAGCCAGATAAAAACAACGCAGCAGGGGCCCAAAGAACCTTCCTCCCTTCATGGCTGTCCTGTCCTTCCCGCCCCTGGCATACTCTTCAAATGACATTCCTAATATCACTTAGCAATTATCTGCAGTGCGTGGGAGCTCCTGGGGGTTAGGGGAGAAAAGCTGAGTCTTATCCATGTCGTAGACCCCACCCTGTGACATAGCCTCAAGTCTCTAGAAGAATCAACCCAATTCAATCTCAGCTTCTCAGTCACCTGCCAAGCCTGCCACAATTCCTCATGAAAGTTGATAGTGCCAAACTGTCCAATATTTTCCCATGCACACCCTTCTCAACTCACCCACCTTCCAGAACTTGCTACCTCCTTCACAGCATACCCTCTGTCCTTCTTGTCTCCTGGATCCAAGGGCTGTGTTAAGTTCTCCACAATGAGTCCAAGGCTGAACCACTGACGAGGCTTCAGATGCTGCTGGTCAACAAGCCCAAACCTGAGCTAAGCAACCGCCTTGCCCAGACCTCTACCAGCCTAAAGTGGCCACCCCTGCATCCTCACTGGTCCCTTTCAATTGCTCCTGTGACCCCTCCCAGTCACAGCTGACCCCTCAGCTCCCACTGGCCACCTCTATCACCTAGTAACTTCCCAGTGCTAGGTTTGCTGAACATGCAAATCTGAGCATGTCAATCCTCCATTGAAAAACCCTTCAAAGGCCCCCTTGCCCTGAAGAGAAATTCTTGCCTTGTTGATGCCTGCCCCCCTCTGTACTCAATGCTCCCATCTGTCTTTTCACTAACAACTGCCTTGGCCTGAAGCACTCTTCCTTCAGATCCTGACCACTTTCTACGCCCGTCTCAGCAGTTCAACTCTGTGAACAGTTGTTACTGCCACCTCCTCTGTCTTACCCACAATACCAAAAAACCATCCTTGAATGAACAGATGCTGGCTGTAGGGTGGCTGGATGGAGTCAGAAGTGGAGCTGGAGGTGTGGTTCAGTAATGGCCTTGCTACCCATAAGACCTGAAAGAGCCAGGAACTCATGGCTGGCTCAAGCTTGTCATCCTAGTTACTCAGGAGGCTGAGATCTGAGGATCCTGGTTTGAAGCCAGTTCAGGCAGATAAATCAGAGAGCCCTATCTCCAATTAACCAGCAAAAAGCCAGAAGTGGAGGTACAACTCAAGTAGTAGAGCCCTAGCCTTATGCAAAAATGCTAAGGCAGAGTACAAAAATCCTGAACTCAAACTCTAGAATCAGCGTGTGCGCGCGCACACACACACACACACAAACTTCATTAGGAGAAGAAATGAAAAGCTCACATGGTCATTAATGTTTCTCTAATCCTATAGCACCTTTGTCATATGGGCATTATGTTTTCCCCATTCAACAAATATGGGAAATAAAGTTTACACATGAAGGCTACTATAGTGGAGATGAAGCAGGATAACTTAAGGAAACTAAGGCCTGGTGAAGGCAACTCAGAAATACGCTATTTAGAAACACAGAAGTGCCATCTTTGTTTCAAAGAGAGACAACACCGGAGCTGGGAAGGTGGCTCAGTGGTAGAGCGCTTGCCTTGCATGCATGAGGCCCTGGGTTCGATTCCTCAGCACCACATAAGCAGAAAAAATAAAAAATCCGGAAGTGGCGCTGTGGCTCAAGTGGTAGAGCACTAGCCTTGAGCTGAAGAGCTGGGGGACAGCGCTCAGGCCCAGAGTTCAGGCCCCACAACAGACCCCACACACACAAAAAAAGAGAGACAACACCAGGATGCATTTCTTTCTGTGGGATACATTGCTCACCCCCAAGAATTAAAACTTATCTGACAGGATCTGTGCCTTCCTGAGAAAAATGTTTCCCCAAATGAAGCCAACTCTTGTCCCAAAATGCAGATAGCAGATGCCTCCTTATCTCAAGAAGAAGGATTTTTTTTTTTGTCGTGGGGCTTGAACTCTGGGCCTGGGCGCTGTCCCTCAGCTCTTCAGCTCAAGGTGAGTGCTCTACCGCTTGAGCCACAGCACCACTTCCGGTTTTCTAGCAGTTTATTGGAGATAAGAGTCTCACGACTCTTAGAATCATGATCCTCAGATCTCAGCCTCCTGAGTAGCTAGGATTACAGGCGTGAGCCACCGGCGCCCGGCTAAGGATAAGGATTTTTTTTATGGCAGGATGCATTCTTACCTGGAAACTTAGAAAGTAACACCAGGTATAATTAGAGTAAAGACAAAGCACCTATCTTTACATATAAATACCCAGACAGCCCAAGGAGTGTGTGTGTGTGTGTGTTTGTGTGTGTCTGGGTCTGTGTGTGTCTATCTCCCTGTGAGAGCACCCACACTCTGCTAGAGTGTGCCCCAGCCCTTCCGTTTGTCTGTTTGTCTGCTTTTTATCTGTCTGCTTTCCTGCTTGTTTACTTAATAAAGCTCTACCAAGTTTTCTTACCATCATGACTTGTCCAGAAATTCTTTTTTTTTTTTTTTTGTTAGTCATGGGGCCTTAACTCTGGGCCCGGGCGCTGTCCCTCAGCTCTTCAGCTCAAGGCTAGCACTCTACCATTTGAGCCACAGTGCCACTTCTGGCTTTTTCTGCTTATATGGTGCTGAGGAATCGAACCCAGGGCCTCATGCATGCAAGGCAAGCACTCTACCACTGAGCCACCTTCCCAGCCCCCAGAAATTCTTATTCTGTGATCAAAGTCAAGGACCCTAAGTGAAAAATTCCTACATTTAAAGGGAAGCTTCACTAAACCTTACCTCCATTGGGTGACAGATACAAGTTAGTGTTTACTTAGAATTTGGAAAGTAGCCTTATTTAGAAACAGAGTCTTCGTGAAGTAATAAGTTAAGATAATGAAGTCTTTCTGTGTTACAGTGTGCCCCCTATGCAGGAACTAGTGTCCTTATAAGAAGGCCACATGACTGGGCACCATTAATCCTAGCTAGTCAGGAGTCTGAGAGCTGAATCTGCAGTTTCAAGCCAGGTAAGGCAGTAAAGTCTGTGACTTTTTTGTGTGTGTGTGTGCCAGTCCAGGGGCTTGTACTCAGGGCCTGGGCACTGTCCCTGAGCTTCTTTGGCTCAAAACTAACATTACCACTTGAGCCACAGCCCCACTTCTGGCTTTTTCTGTGTATGTGGTACTGAGGAATCAAACCCAGGGCTTCATGCATGCTAGGCAAGCACTCCACATTCCCAGCCCAAGCCTGTGATTCTTATCTCCAATTAACTACCAGAAAGCCCTTCAGGAAGTGGAGCTGTGGTTCAAGTGGTAGAGCTCCTATCCTTGAGCAAAGGAGGTAAAGAATAGCATCCAGGCCCTGAGTTCAAGCCCCAGTATTACGCGTGCATGCACCCATGTGTGTGCACACACACATACACATACACAGCCATATGAAGAGAGTCACACAGGGAAGGCAACTATGTGATGATGGAGGCTGAGGCTGGAATAATGTACAGCAGCTACAAGGACTACCAAGATTCCAAAAGCACTAGAAGTGAGAAGAAGCAGGAAGGATCCTGCTCCAGTCCTTAGAGGGAGCATGACTACCAAATCCTTGACATTAGGCTTCTAGTCTCCAGAAGAATCCATTTCTGTTTTAAACCACTGAGCTTGGGGCATTTGCTATGGCAGCTGCAGGAAACAATACTGCTTGAAACCTTATCCATGGTTGTATAGCCAACAAAGGGCCATCTGGGGAATTTAAATTCTGAGCCTTTTATCCTACACTCTGCTGCCTTCTTTAGCCCCATGGCAATTCAGGGATGGCTGGCAATCCATCCTTGTAGCGCAAGCTCTAGAGAAACTTTGTCTCTCTCCAGAGATTATCTGTCTTCCTCCTTCCTCCTAAGTGAATGTTCTCAAAAATCATTCTGTATCCTTCTTTGCCATGGCTACCAGGAAGCTCTGTGCCACATGATTACTTGCTGAGATAAAATCAACCCTGAGTTGGCCTAACTGCTCTTGGCTTAAACAATCCCATTGGGTAAGTGGAGAAAGGGTCACAAAGATGGGCCCCCAACTTTCTACCTCACGGGCTCCTTAGATGTGGCAGGGGTGCCCGGAAACACCCAGGTCAAACACCCTCTCCCCCCAGGTCCACATTATTTCTAGGGGCCTCTACCCTCTGTGGTCTCTACAAGCTGCTGCCCAGGTAACTCCAGGAAGAAGGCTGTCCGCTTTTAGTTAAATACTTGTGAACCGGATTGATGTCCCCATCATCCCAGATCTTAAGGTACAGGTCTGTCTCCAGAGGCTCTTGTCTAAGTTAAGCTAAGCCAGAAACACTTCCCAAGACCTAACTCACTCTATGACTAAAGCAGACTAAAGGAGGCTCATCCAGGGACCTGGGCACAGATACTACGCTCTTTGCTTTCCTGGAAAAATGTCTTCTCAGCCAGGAAACAGAGGTGGGGCTGGGGACAATTCTCTTCTAGCTACAGGACTCTAAGCTCTGGACAACCCTCCCCCTCCCTCCCCAGTGCCTAGATTGCTCCCCCCCTGTCAGCCAGGCTTAGCCCTTCTTCCTCACCCCTCATCATACCTCACACTTCTCACACTAAGGGGATCAGGACTGGCTGAGTCTCTGGACATGGTCAGGAACCGGGGGCCATCCAAGTCTGGCTCCAGCCCTGAACATGCAGGGGAAGGGAAGGCGGACTTACCTGGCTGCCAGCTCAGAGCAGGGGGTCTGAGAAGTCCCTGGGGGCACTGGGGCTGCTTCTTAAGCTCTGGCCCTGTCTCAGTGTCAACTCAGCACTGCGCCTTGGCCCTGGGGGAGGGCAGACTGGGCAGTCATGCAGGTTTGCCAGGGAGGAAACCTGCTGTGCCAAGGTGGCCCCAGGACAATACTGGCTGCAGAGAGGGAGAGTAGAAGGCTGCTGGGGAGAAGGCAGTCTGGGGTGGGGGGTAGGAGGGCATATACATCCTGCTGTCCTCTGACTTGTCAGAGGGACTCAGCCCAGGGATCATAAAGCCTGGCCACACTGTTCCCTACCCCAAACCCCAGTTGTTTAATTGGGAATACTTGACCAAAAGGAAGGCTCTTGGCCATAGGTCTCAGTATATGTGTTCTGGCTGATCTCACACACCTCAGCACGTTTGCTCAGCCAGCCAGCCCCAGCGGAACAGGCTGGTCTCCTTGCCCGTGGAAATGGGGGCTGGAACCCCAGAACCACAAATGACCCCACTCAGATAACAAGAGGAGTCCAGGGCAAGGGGGTGATCACAACTTCAGGGGCAGGCAGGAGGCCTCCAATAGGAACTTCTGAGCAAGCTTGGAAAGATCGGGCTCCTCCTTTAGCTAGGCAGGTCTCTAGCTCAGACTTGGGGTCCTGGAGGAGCTGGGACCCTCTCTTCACTGCCTGCCATCCCTCCCCTTCCTGGAGCCAGAGGCAGATTGCAGGGCTGGCTGCGAGGCTGCCCAGAGCCAGGCTCCATGGTTAAGTAGCATGCCTCAGCCTGCTCATCTCCTAGGCCGGGGATCAGAGGAGTGGGTTCCACCAAGCTTGTCCAGGCCTGTCACCGGCTAACTGAGGATTTGCGAGGGCAGTAGTTATGCAGGATGGACAGATCAGATTCAAATGTGCTCTGTAGGGGCGATTTCTGAAACTAGGTGCTGTGCTGGCATTGCCTCTCTCCCCCCCCCCCCCCGCCCCATTTCTCCTAGAATGCTCTTTTGCATAGTCAATGCGACTATTCTCCCAGTCAGCACTGGGGCCAGAGGGCTCAGAGGTGCCAAATGCCACCTCGACCTGGCGGGGCTCAGCGCCTCCCCTGGAGGCGCTCCGGAAGAACTCCAGCGCCAGATCGGACGCCGGCCGAGCCCGCGCCCCAGCAAGACTCCTGCCAAACGCAGCAGCCCCCCTGACCCGACGTCCGGCGGGCAGCGCGCGGGCGCGCAGCCTGCGACCTGGCGCTCCCAGCCCAGCGCATCCCTGGCTGGGGCGGGGCGCAGACAGATCGGCCGCCGGTCGGCGCGGCGCCGGCTCCTCGGAGGCCATGGGGGCGCGGCTGGGCCGGCGGGCAGGGCCCGAGGCGGGCTGCGAAGCTGGAGCGGCGGCGGGCGGCGGGCCCGCGCCCTACGAGCGCCGAGTGCGCTGGCTCCGTGAGATCCAGTCCACGCTCCGCGAGCGGCAGCCCGAGCGCGCCCAGCAGCTGCTGCACGTCCTGAGCCAGGCGAGAGAAGCCGGGGCCCGCAGCCATGGAGGGGCCGGAGCGGGAAGGGGCCGGGAGGCGCCCGCGCGGCGCGCTGCAGGCTGCAGGACTGCGGGCTGCGGGCTGCGGGGAGGCTGGGGACAGGATAGGCTTTTCTAGGGCCGAGGTTTTGGCTGGGAGGGAGGGAGGGAGGGAGGGCACGGGCCAGAGTGGGGGCCGGTGAGGCTGGCAGAGTGAGCATGGAGAAGGGGGGGGGGCTGTATGTCTGGAACTCTAAGATTTTGAGGTGTGTGTGTGTGTGTGTGTGTGTGTGTGTGTGTGTGTGTGTGGTGTGGGGGTTGAGAATGCCCCAGCCTGGGGCCAAATTTAGGCCTTAGCAAGAAAGGAGAGTGTTGGATGCTGGATATCCCCTATTGAAGAGGGAAGAGGGCCGCTCCCCCCTCCTCCAGGATGGGGAATATCCTGGATCCGGGAGAAAGGAGCCTGAGAGGCACAGCCCTGTTAGTTTACAGGCCCACCAGGAGAACCCCACAGCAGCCCAGACAAAGAAAGCCACAGGCACACATCATCCCATTCAGTGGCCCACAGCAACTGAATACATCACCACTAGTCATCTGGACCCGTGGAGGCTCTGATCCCACACATATCTGGTACCCTAACCTAAGATCCTAAACTCTTAAGTTGCCCTAGAGATGTGGATGCAGATTCCAGCATCACCCTTAGGCAAGCTACTAGCAGTCTGCTTTGTCCCCACCCTGGCTGCAGGGGCCACTATCACCTGCTTTATTTCCCAGCTGAAATACCATGCAGGTGTTTAGCCTAAAGAAGGTAGATGGTTAGGGATTGGGAAACTGAGGCATAGAGAAAAATGGTGAGCAAGGAATCAGGGTAAACAGAGGGAGGGCTAAGGATGTAGCTCAAGTGATAGTATGCTTGCCTAGCATGTCGAAGGCACTAGGTTAAATCCCCAGCATGGTAGATGGAAGGATAGATGGGAAAGGAAGGGAGGAAGGAAGGAAGGAAGGAAGGAAGGAAGGAAGGAAGGAAGGAAGGAAGAAAAGAAGGAAGGAGGAAGGAAGGAAACAGAGGAGGAGCCAAGGCAAGAGCTTTCCTCAAGTTTCCTCTCTTTGGACTTAGCAGACTGGAAAGGTAGAGCTGGCACATTAAGAGGAGCTGTTCAGACCAGTGGACTGAGGCTCTGTCTGAATTTTCCCAAACTTACCAGCCATCCCTTCCTCCCTTTAGTTCCTTCCTTACATCTGTGACGTGAACCATGTTGAAATTATGAACAGCAAAGCAACTCCCTATCAATCAGATGGCATAGAGACGCAGACCAATGTCAGGGATGGTATCCGGAGGCCAAGGCACTGGCTGGATGTTTGTCCCTAGCCAACATGTGAAGCGGAGGACCATCAGAGAGATCATCTAGGTTATTCCTTTGTGTCCCAGAGGCCGAGATTTAAAGCCTATCCTCTTTGGTGACCTGCTGGGTCTCTGAAACTTCAGCCCATGGTGTCTCCTATCTGGCTTATTTTCTTGTGCCAGGAACATATGCATGGAACATGTTGCTCTCTAGCTTGAGTGGGCACACATGGAGGCTAGAGGTCCTCCTGGTTTTGCCTGCTCCATCAGCTGACACTAGGCTTATGGGACTAGATAGGAGAAGGTAAAGAAATGATTGTAGGAAAGCCAGACTAGAACCCTGACTATGGAGTCTTATCCAAGGGTAAGAAAGAAGGCTAGTGGGTGAGGGCAGATGTGATGGCCACATACAAGGGGTTCTGACTCTGAAAACTGGGTCTAAGTCTCCACCAATGGGGTTGAGGGTCAGGCTCTGGTGTGTGTTTCATAGAGTAGCTCTGGCCACCCAGAAATGTGCTGGAAGGTTCTAAAAGGCTGGAAGACCAGGGAAAAGAAGAAGAGAAACCTCTAGGAATGAAAACAAGGAAAGGGTGCTGGGTGAATTCTGGGAAAGTAGGCATGGTCCCATAGGGTGAACTGGGGCACTAGGACATAGTCAGGAGATAAATGGCCTGAGTCTGAGCTGCCTTTCAGGCATCTTTGAGCTGAAGGAGCCCATTCCCACAGGTGAACAGATGGTGGCCATAGCTCAGGAGGCCTCAGGGATAGGAGGGAATGCTGAGGGCCACTGCTCCTTGGGGTGACCAGAGGAGCAGAACATCCCGGCAAGGTGTCACATCAAAACACATCATTGCCAGTAATGTATCTGAGTAATTGCTTGTCATGTCCCTGAGGCTCCTGGCATGCCACCCACTCCTCATCTAATGGTTAGTCTACCTGCTACTTAGACAGTTGGCTCTTGTGCCTGTGGGGAGACTTCTGCAAATCAAACCTCAGGGAGGGAGACAAAGACACAGCATGAGGGCCATCTGGCTGACTGCCCCAAAGAAGGGAAGTTTCAAACTCTGGCTCACTCAACTACTTCTTCATCATCCACAGGACCTGGGCCTTGAGGGGACCCTGCTCACTGACATCCTCTATAGGAACGTGGCCTTCCTCAACCTGGTGGATCCTATCTCCCATGACTTGTTGGTAAACCTAGCCCGGGACCTGCAGTGCCCTAAGAAGGTGAGGTCAGCAGGCCTTGCAGGGTGGATGACAGGTGCTAGGAGAAGGTTCTCATGTAGCTTGCTGTAAAACCTTAGGTAGGTCACTATCCTCTGAGACCTGACACCAGCTTCAGGAATAAATGAGCAGTGTTTTGCCCACCTGCCATCACACCTACAATAGATCTGTTTCCCAAGTGGCAGCATGGTGTGCCAGGCCTGGGGACTCTAGCTGAGCAGAAGTCAAAGGGGGAAACGCTGCAGACACAGTGTTTTGATAAATGTACTACCAGAACTCAACTCCCTTGCTCTTGTTCCTTGGCCAGAAGAGAGTTACTTCCAGACTGGAGCCCCTGTCCACTGGTGTCTATCTTACTTGGATATCTTAGGGATGGGTATCCTCTGCATCCCTCCCTTGCCTGGACCATAAGCAAAGTCCTCTTTGGGCTAAGTTGGAGACTCGACCTCTCTGTGCTCTGTTCTTACACCTCCTAATGTGTCTCTGTGAGTAACAGACGTAATCCTGGCTTCTGCCTATGGCCAGCTACCAGCCCTGGAGCCCTGGTCACAATGCATCCCCCATCTAAAAAAAGGATCTGCCAGGTCTGAATGCCTGTGTCTGTTAGCTGTTGGCTAGCTCACAGCCATCACAGGAGCCACAGCTTGCTGTTGCTGTGTGTGTCCCATGCTCCTGGGACTGCTATCAGAGGGACAGCATAAAAGAACGTTCCGGGTAGTGAGGCATGCTTAGCTGTGTGGAAAGCACACCCTGTATTCTGCCCCAAGCGAGGCCTCTGTGTGTGTGTGCGTGCGTGCATGCGTGTGTGTGTGTGTGTGTGTGTGTGTGTGTGTGTGTGTTGGTGGGGGTAGTGAGGATCAAGAGAGAACCAGAATGTAGTACTATAAAACATGAACCCCCTCCCTGCCACCCCTCCCACGGCCCTGTCAAGCCCAGACCCAGGCCCCATTGGAGCCGTGTGGCTTGGAGAATGAAAGGAAGAAGAACATGCTGACCTGGCTTGTTCCTATTCCCTGGGATTGGTGTCTGTGGAGCTGGGCTCCCTCGAAGGGCCTGATCCGGCCTCCCCCTTGTGGCAAGTCCCTTGGGGGTGCCGAGAGTGGGCAGGCTGCCGGCTGCTAGCCCAAGCTGCTGGCCCTGGGCCTGAGGACAGGGAACAAGGGCTCATTGTCTGGGCTTCCTCCCACCGGGCACTGCGGGCCTCAGACCAGCGTGTCCAGCTCCCAGCAGGCAACCTCTCCTGGCTCCATGCCAGGTTACAGCTGGGGTGGGAGTGGGAGGGGCTTAGTCTCACCCTGACAACCCTGTCCCTTGCCCACAGGACTGTGAGCTCTGGACGTCCTCGGACAAGATCTGCCGGCAGCTCATCTACCACCTGACCCCTCACTCCAAGAGGCAGCGAGGACCCAGCCTGCCCCGAAGGAAGAGCCAGAGCAGGTAAGAGGAGCTGAGCCACAGCCCTTCCTTTCTGTTTTTGGCAGGGTCCCTTCCTAGGTTAACAATCCAGACTTCTCTCACTGAGAGCTAGGCACCCCAAATCTCACCCTACGGGCATTCCCCTTGCCCTTACCTGCATGAAGGCTCCAACCCTGGAAGCCAGTCTGACTCCTATCAGCAGATGCCATCCAAGTGTAGGCCAAGCTACACATCAGCGTGTACTGCCTTTCATTTCCCTAAAGACAGTGCTATCTCCTGCCATTCCCTCGTTCCTCAATCCTCTTGGCCTGTCACAGGGCCTGGACCTCCTTGGGCCTCAGGTACACTATGTAAATCTTCTCACAGGTAACGAGGGAGGCATATGTCTTCCATTTTACAGGGAAGGAAACTGAGGCTAGAAGAGGCAAAGTAGCTGGACCTAGTTTACACTTTCCTGATTATCCTGCAGCCCTTTGGGAATTCTTTACCAACACTAGGTTACCTGAAGGGGAGCCCTTCACAGTTCCCAGAGAAACTCACTCTGTGGGCCCTTTCTCTCCATCATAACTTCATGGCCCAGACTCAGCCCAGAATTGGCTGTAGGCACCAGACCCAGCGGCCAAGATCCATAGCTGGGATCCTATTGATGCACATGTCCCCTATTTCCCCCCCAACCTCTGTCCTATCTCAGGCCTGGTGGCCCAAACTGAATCCAGAGCCCATGGAATTGTTCCCTGGCATGGCAGATGGGAGACATGTCAGTGTGTTTACTTCTCTAAGCTCCTCCCTGAAACCGGTCAGGTCTTTCTATCTAGTGGGCTCTGTTTAGATAGCGGGAGAGCAAGAGAAGTACAGGGGAACAAGATACCCTCCTCAGTCTCTAAATGTCCCAGCCTAAAACAGGAGCCTTCACCCAGGGTAAATTCTCATTCCACAAACACACTCACTACCTTGGGCTTTCCTTTTAGCCTCTCAAGACTGAGGAGCTCAGGAGTGACCAAAGGTTGAGGGGCTCAGGCAGGGAGCCTCTCGATTTTAGAACCCAGTCCTTCTTTAGTGGAATGTCCCTAGGAGAAGTTTCTTTTCTTCTTTGAGCTTTAGTTTGCTTCTCTATAAGATCATCATTCCTGAACCCCCTGAACTGCATAAAAATCAATGCGATATCAAGTTTCACAGAGGTGGCAATACTAGGCACACAGTAACATTTTATATTAATAATTTGCACATGGAGCCTTAACGTGTGTACACTCAATCCTCACAGAAATCTTGTCCCCTTTTCACTAAAGGGGAAACAGGATCAGAAGTTTCCCAGCATTGCCCATGGCCTTCCCCTCACCCCCTCCTTAAACAGTAGCAGTTGGAACCTGGCTCTGCCAGACAGGGTCTGACCTGACTCTGATGGATCATCATGTATGGTGGCTCTGATCTTGGCTACCCCCGGCCCCCAGGTGCTTGCTCAGTCCATTCTACTTATACCTCTTCATAGCCTCAAGAGCAGCCTCCAGAAGACACTGCTGGTTGGGGAGACTGTGGATCTTTCGGGCATCCCACTGTCTGCTCGAGATGTGCAGCATATAACACGCTACCTGAGCAGCCATGGCACTGAGCTGGTGGTGCTGGACTTGAGCTTCACAGAACTTAATGATGAGCTCTTGCATCTCTTACTGCCCAGCCTGTGGACACTGCCCCGCCTCACCCAGCTCCTGCTCAATGGCAATCGATTGACTCGAGCCACCGCCCGAGAGCTCACTGAAGCTGTCAAGGACACCACCAAGTTCCCTGCATTGGCCTGGGTAGACCTGGGCAACAATGTGGATGTGGCCTCACTACCCCAGCCTCTGCTGGTTGGCTTGCGTCGGCGACTGAGCCAGCGTGCCTCACTTCCCACCATCTATGAAGGCCAAGACCTTGAGCCTGAAAGTGGTATGGTTGGGGTTACTGTGGCTGCCTCTACCTGGGGCTCTGCAGCTGCCAACCTAGGGTCTGAGTCCCAGGCTTGCTGTGCCAGGTGACTCATTATCCCCTGGCTCACTGCTACTAACTGCGGAGGCTCTCAAGAACATGGAGGCCAAGGAAGTCCCTCAGGCTCCAAGAGCCACCCAGGATGCTCAGCCTGAGATTACATGGATAGAAAAAAAAATAAACGGACCCATAGGAGGCAGAATGGCAAGGCCAGGCTGGGGCTCAGCCCTCTCTTAGCAAAAGGGACCCTAACACCCATAATATACTCCTCAATAAAGGGTGGTACCTCATCTTGCCTCAACACATTGCATTGTGGCCTCAGAGTCCCTGAGTGTCAATCCTGCTGCTGTGGTAAGGTAGTCCTATTCTACCCACAAGAGTGCTCCCTGGAAGAGTCCCATGTACATCAAGCTGTATGTGGGGGGGGGGGGTGTCATGCATCCAGGAGTGTGGGTGGAAGAGCAAGGTTTGGACTAAAGTAGGTGAGGTAAGGTCAGGGAGGCAAGGAGGAACAGATTGGAAACCCTGGAAGAGGCAGAGCTCTGCATGGAGCTTCCCAGTAAGCTCATTCCTGAGCCTAGGCTGCCATCAGGGCTGGGGACAAGGCTGCACTGAGCAGAGGGGAGACCACAACAGACTTGAGTGGGTCTACTCTGTCCCACAGGGCATAGCACCCTCCTCCAGGACACTCCCCAATCCCCATCCCCCTGGCCCCTGTACTTGGAGAATAGATAACTAGGCCAAGTTGGGAGACACATCTGGCCAGAAACAAATCACTGTGTATTCCCTCCAGGCCTTGGGGGTACCCCAATAAGGGCATGCAGGGGCTGAATGTAGGCACAGTTAGCAGCAGATTGGGTCAGGGTCAGGACAGTCATGAGATGATCTTATAATAGATTGTCTCCCTCTCCTAAAACCATAGAGTGGGCTCCCAACCAAAGCTTAAAACCGTGATTATCCTCACTGTCTTATGTGGGGAACTGAAATTCAGTCCAACCAGCAGACAGGCAGGTGAAAAATGGATTTAGAGATGCTCAGAATCAAGCACCAGTGGCTCACACCTGGAATCATAGATACTCAGGTGGCTGAGATCTGAGGATCACAGTTCAAAACCAGGAAAGCCCACAAGACTCTTAGCTCCAATTAATGAGCAAAAAGCTAGAAGTGGTGTTGTGGCTCAAGTGTTAGGGCATCAGTCTTGAATTTTTTGGGATTTCTGTCGGTCCTGGGGCTTGAACTCTGGGCTTGGGTGTTGTCCCTACACTCTTCAGCTCAAGGCGAGCGCTCTACCGCTTGAGCCACAGCACCACTTCTGGTTTTCTAGCAGTTTATTGTAGATAAGAGTCTCACGAACTTTCCTGCCCGGGCTGGCTTTGAACCGCAATCCTCAGATCTCAGCCTCCTGAGTAGCTAGGTTTACAGGCGTGAGCCACTGGCATCCGGCTAGGGCATCAGTCTTGAGTAAATGAAAAAGCCAAGAGAGACTGAGAGACCTGAGTTCAAGCTCCAGTACTGGGACACACACACACACACACACACACACACACACACACACACACACACACACACACACACACACACACACACACACACACACACACACACACACACACACACACACACACACACGATGTGCCCAGGAAGAAACTGAGGCCCAAAGTGGGAAATCCAGGGAGTGACCTAAGGCTGCTGTGCAGAGTCAAGACATAGGATCTTGGGAGATGAGTGGGATCTTTCTGGATGAAGAGATATCTAACAAAAGAAAGAAGCTCCAGGGCCCAGGAGGAGGCAGGTATCCCTCGAGGCCTGTGTATCATGACCCATCAGCTCCAACTTTTCTCCCTCTGTAACCCCATCATCAGTGGCCCCTTCATCCCCCATGGAACATGGATTCCAGACCATCTAGCTGCAAACAGCCTCCCAGACTGTAAATATTTGGCCAAGAACAGAGAGGACAGGTTTCAGCACTGGGAAGGAGATGATGAGGAAAGGATTTCCCTTAAATCCCACGGGTCTCACTGTTTTATGGGACTCTACCTAGAGATTGTAGGAAGAACACAAGATTATACCTGGCTCTGTCCTCCACATGCTGGAGAAATCTGACCAGGCCATTTACCTCTCTGGGCCTCAGATCCTAATTTTTCCTGTGTTAAATAGGACCCTCTGTCCCCAGTCCCTCCCAGCTCTCAAATTCCATCATAAGGCCCCAATATTCTCCTTTTTTTTTCTTTTAACGATATAGGCCTGCCCAGAACCATAAAAGTATTTCCCTATATCCAACCCAGGAACAGAGATTCAGGCCTCCCTGGAGCTATGGAAAATGAGGTTAGAAGGTAGATCAGCAGAAGAAAAGGAAGGAAAGATCAGGCTTGGGCCCAGCAGGCTTATAAAGGTATTACAAGCTCAGGCAAGCAAGTTCTCTCTTCAACTGTTTGTTGGAGAAAGGCCAAACTTTTTGTGTCCTTCCTGCCCTTCTTGCTCCCTGCCCCTGTCTGGCTCAAAACCAGGTCACAAACCTGGGATGCTCAAAAAGGTTCTTGCCAGGATGATAATAAAGAACTTGAGCCAGGTGTCCCAGGAAGGTTCTAGAAGACTCCCAAGTAGCTGCAGATGGTCTCAATCTCTCCACCTTTTGAACAGAAGCATATGACCCAGTAGCTGAGCCACAGCCAGCTCACAAGGAATGGAGGTTGACCTTGTTGCTAACAAGGGTCCACAAACCTGTACGGGGTCCTCAGAACCATCAGCAAAGGCGCTCCACTGGTCGAGACGCAGCTCTGGAAAGCCAGGGCTTGTGCCCTCAGTTCGTTTTATACTGCTGTAACAATACCACAGCTTGGATTTCTAAACAACTAGAGTTTATTTGTCTCATGATTTTGAAGGCTGGAAGGATTGCATCTGGTGAGAGCCTTCTTGCTGCATCACAACGTGACAAAAGCAACACGTGGTGAGGGAGCATTCAAGAAGACAAGGGTCCAGTTCAGTTTTGTTTTGTTTTGTTGTTGGTTTTGTTTTAGGGGGGTTGCCTATTGGAACTCGGAATCCTCCTTTAGCTTTTTTACTCAAGGCTCTACCATTTCAGGCACAGCTTCACTTTGGGCTTTTTGGTAGTTAACTGGAGATAAGAATCTTACGCATTTTTCTGCCCAGGCTGGCTGCCTTTGAGCCTTGATCCTCAGATCGCAGCTTCCTAAGTAGCTAATATTGCAACTATAAGTTACTGATGCTGGTGGGTTTGGAATGTGGCTTAGTGGTAGAGTGCTTGCCTAGCATGCATGAAACCCTGGGTTTGATTCCTCAGTACCACATAAACAGAAAAAGCTGGAAGTGGCATGTGGCTCAAGTGGTAGAGTGCTAGCCTTGAGCACAGAGAAGCTCATGGATAATGCCCAGGCCCTGAAGTCAAGCTCCAGGACAGGCAAAAAGAAAAAGAAGTTACCGGTGCCAGGCTTGTTTGAAATTATCTTTATAAAATACCCACTAAGCAGGCCTGTGGGTATGGTTCCAGTGGTAGAACACTTAGTGTCTGCAAGGTCCTATGTTCAAAGGCCAGTATAGCAGTGTGAGGGGGAGAGAGAGAGTGAAGGATGGAGGAAGAGAGGGAGGGGGGTGGGGACAGGAATACTAGGGTTAAAAAAAGACCTGCTGTTTGCTAGGCAGATATTCCACCACTTAAGCCATAACCCTAGCCCTCCCCTCCCTGTTTGTTTGTTTACTTGCTTGCTTGTTTTATTTGCTGATCCGGGGCTTGAACTCTGGGCCTGGGCTCTGTCCTTGAACATTTGTGCTCAAAGCTAGCATTCTACCACTTGAGCCACAGCTCCACTTCAGGCTTATTTTTTTTTTTCCATGTAGTTTAGTAAAGTCTCACAGACTTTCTTGCCTGGATTGGCTTTAAACCGTGATCCTCAATCTCAGTCTCTTGAGTAGCTAGGATTGTAGGCATAAGCCACCATGACCCAGCCCTAGCCCTTTTGACTGTATTTTTGAGATAGAGTTTTGTAGGTTTGCCTAAGCTATCCTACACAGTGATTTGTCTGATCTTAGCCCTCTGAGTAACTGGAAGTATATGCGTGAGACAGAACCCCCGGCCTGAGGCCCAGTCTTAGACCCCCCCACACACACATACACATTCCACCTCCCACCCTGCCTCTCAGCCCCATTGCTCCCTTGCAGCATGGTCCTCTTTTAGGACCCATTCCCTCATCATGGGAACTAGGATCATAAAGTGTTCCTTTGTCTTACTAAAGTAAGACAACTTGTGGTTTGTTGCTGTGCTGCCCACACGGAAGTGCGCGAGTATAAACGGGAACTTTAACATCAGTGGGGCCTCCACTCAAGCTCTGAGGGTTGCAATGTCACTACAGAAAATGAAAGCATTTTATTTGTTTATTTATCCAAAGATCTGGGGACTGAACCCTAGGCTTTGACCCATCGCCCTCGGGTACTCTAGACAAACAATTCTAAAACTAAGCTACATCTTCAGTCCTCATTTTTGTATTTATTTATTTCTGAGACAGGGTCTTGCTAAGTAGTCCAAGTTGATCTCGAATTCATGATCCTCCTGAGTGTTAAGATTATAGATGAGTGACACAACACTCAGTTCCACTTACTTATACATTTATTTGATACTGGGCTTTGAACTCAGGGCTTCCACTTGGCTTAACCACTTGTGCTGTGCATACAGCGCTTTTTTCTTTGGATTGTAATCTTCCTTCCTGTACCACTGGAGTAGTGGGATTATAGGCATGAGCTACTATGTCCAGCTTCCATTTATTTATTTATTATTTATTTTTTATTTTTTTGGGTCTGGTCATGGGGCCTGAACTCTGGGCCTGGGCGCTGTCCCTTAGCTCTTCAGCTCAAGGCTAGCGCTCTACCACTTGAGTCACAGCGCTACTTCTGGCTTTTTTCTTTTTGCTTATGTGGTGCTGAGGAATCGAACCCAGGGCCTCATGCATGCAAGGCAAGCGCTCTACCACTGAGCCACCTTCCCAGCCCCCAGCTTCCATTTATATAATTAACACGCGCTCCTGTGTATGGGGGGGGGGGGAAGAGGGAGGAGGAGAGAAAGAGAGAGAGGGAGGTGGAGAGAGAGAGAGAGAGGGAGGGAGAGAGAGAGAGTGTGTGT